GTCATAGATTTTTTTAAAGATGCTAAGGAAATCTGGCAGCTACTGTAAAATATAAATATATATTACGCTGAAATTGTTTCTATCCTCTAAATTTAAAATAACACTTTTTCTCTGTATCATAAAGTGAGATGTCTACTATGGAAAAGTGCATACAAAACTATCCTTTATCCAAGAGTTTCTACTATTAGGTTTAGTGTATTATTTCATATTCCATCTACTTAATGTTTTAAAGAAATATCTAAGGTTACACTTGATACCTATATGCTATAAATACTATGTATAATAATATACGAAAGTGAAAGTTAAGCGAGAACCTGAAGAACTATGGTCAATTTTATTTTTTAATAACTTAAGGTAACTGAAACCTCCACCTACGTCGTCGTCGAGATATTAATATTATCTGTAAATTATTCCTTTAATTTTTTTTAAAATTAATTTTTGAAATCAAAATTTAGAAATTTTTCGACTTAATTTGACCCTAAAACTAAATTAAATATTTGCATAAAAAAATTTTTAAGACATTTAAAACGCGGTTCATTTCCGTATTTTGAAGGTTGTACGTAATAATTTTCACCTCAATGGTGGGTCGCTTGGTAAAATAAACTATCATCGTTTAAAATAAATGAGATGAAAACATCTTAATTTAAGTTGGGGCCTGGTAGATAGTACCAGTGACCCCAGAGCTGGTGCTTTCCTCGCTCAACGAATAAGTATCGCCATTTATTAGGCTCGGACTATACATGTGTATGTAGCCTTAGTGGTGTGTCATTCTATAACATTACACCGCGTAAAGTAGAAAACTTCGGTTATGGGGCTCCTATAAAACGGTTTACCTATAGACAAAACGTCATCCTACCCCTATTGCACTCGTATCCCCATACATATTTTTGTATCTTATTTTAGATTATTGTTTAGATTTTAGACAATAGAGAAGCAACTCAATAATCAAAGGATCACTAATCAGGAATAAGCAAGTATTAGTATAATATAATAAACGACAATTTTATGTCTATCAAGTTAAATGTATAAAAAATCTTACTTAATGATTTTTATATTAATCAATTTAAATTACGTCATAGGCTCCGTAATAACTATGTTTCTTATAATTGCACGATAATTGCTTTTACGGTTTATAAGATTATTTTTTGAGAATTTTTTTTCAATCATGTAACTCGTGCGATTCCTGTCGAGAGGCTAGTATAAAAGCATTAACATTTTATCTAAGATAATTTCGCTCAAAGCTAATCAAAATAAATGTGGCCATATTGAAATAATTATAGTTGTTTTGAGTGGCACATATAAACAAAAATATTATTTATTATCACTGGCTACACATCTGAGGTAAGCATATTTATAAAATAAATTATGAGGAATGATAAATTTCAAATATATTTTCCTGGAACGCAGTGGTATGGTTATACGGTTGAAACATATATTTATAATATACATATATGTATATATGTATTTACTTTTTCTAGTTTACGTTAATTATAGTTTTTAATACTATAGCATATTATGTTTTACTTTGCGTATTACATCGTGTACTATAAATTAATTAATTTCACGTAGTTGGTTGCTAAACTGCTTTTTTCTTGTGTATTGTACGAGCTTGCAAATAACACTGTGGGTTTATAATAATTATTTAAGCATAGTATATGTAACTTAGTCAAGTCTCACTCTAAAATTATTGAATAGCTTGAACATCCTACTGGACTACCATACGTACTGGGTTAAGGGTTGGGAAAAGTTTTATTTTGCCATTAGGTTAAGAGGTAGCAGTAGGTACTCTAAGGATTGGTGGAATCTAAGGTGGATTACATATCATAACCAATACCGACTTCAAAGACTATTCCGCAGAATATACTCGTATATGAAAAAAGCAATGACAAAAATGTCACCTTCATAGTTATATTTGGCTCAAGAAAAAATATATATGTTTTAATATAGGTAGATTTTATTATTTCCGGTACAAAAATAAATGACAATAATAAAATAACACTACATTTTTGAAGGCTTAATTGTCAATTTTTCAGCATAAAGCCGGCGACGCATTTGAAATTGACTTTAGAAGTATATACCCACTTGTCTTCTTATCTTCAGTTCGGCCCTCGACAAGCATAATATTGTCGATGTCTAGTTGCAGCACCGAGCGTCGCGAAGATCGATTGGGGCGGCCTAATTTTCTTTCCTTGGGCAAATCCTTTGGGCCAAAGTCAAAAATCATTTATTTATTTAGGTAACACAATACTTATGAACATCAATAAAGAAATATATATATATATATATATATTAAATGCTAAATACATTTAATATGTATTTCTTTATTGACATATTTCACATTTACGGCCGGTCATTTCAGCCTGGCCACAAGGTTTGCACTTGCTAAAAACAAATATTTAATCTAATTAAAAAATGGCTTTTTGTATGAAAACTTTAGCAGCGGTCCGCAGCCGTATTTGGAACTCAAAGGGGCTACAAACCCTATATATATATACGTCGTGTAGTAACCAAATGTATATAAAATATACCAAATACCAATATACTAAATGTATGGAAAATAAATATGAATTAATCAAAAATATAACCGACACTTGACTATAACCGTTTTGGTTCAAGTTAAGAAAAGTATTATAGTCAAGAAAAACCATTTTAAGTACATGAGATATATTTTTGAAAATATATATTTCTTTCTCAAATGCAAAATTTTATTATTTTGGCATAAATATACATATGTGGATAAAGTCATAGGTAAAAATGATGTTCGTAAAAGGGCTAAAACAAAAGAAAAAACCATACGCAAGGCCGCTCCAAGGCGGGTCGACGACTGGTTGCCGGCTTTTTTATTCGCATTTGAGTGCAATCCTGATACGTACAGCTATTGCGACTTTGTCTGCATTATATTATATTTTTCACAATCAAAATTTGTTTTCTTTAACTGTAAGCTGCTTGAGAAAATATTATTTAACTTATAATGCACAATTTAACAATACGCAGTTCTAGTTTTATTTGATTAATGTTCTTTACCTATATTTAGAGAAAATGTATCAAACATAAGCCTAGTATATTTATTAAAGTGCGCATTTGTAATAATACCTTCAGAATAAATATTAAAACACTTTTGATTTCTGGAGTTTTTTCCGTTTCTTTGAACCACTGTAGAAAGTACACTGTTGTAGCGACCCTACCAGCAATTGGGTCACGTGTCAAGGGTGTGCCCTTAGCCTCGTGACCCGAGACGTGCTGATAATCTTTTAAAAATTTAGTCAGACATATTGGTAGGTCTGACTAAATTTTAAAATAAAGTATTTACCAGGCATTTTACAGACTAATTGCGAGATTCACGTATATTCCTATCGCACACTAACATTTTCTATAGTGGATTAAAAAAATCGATAGTGGAGTGCCAAGTGAGACGATACGGTTTATCGAGCTTCTAAAATATATGCTTTTAGCTGTGTAAATGTGTTAGACTCGAGAAAACCTCAGTGCCTATAGGTAGTCAGTGGTACACTCGATTTCTGTTAAAGGAAATAGCGTTGTATCGCTCTCGCTCAAGGTTTGTTTTACAATACACAAAAATAAGATATCAATCACGTTTTAAGCGCTCATGGTAACGCCCTCTTTTCTCTCAAAGTCGAAGTTTCTTTTAATGAAGCCAGTTTCATGAGTTTCTTAAGAACAAAGTTTTTTATTGAGTTTACTCGTCGAAATTGCGGTGAACGGTCACGTGATATTACATGTCTCAAGATCAGTTGCTGATAAACTGATAGTGATGCTGATAATGATAATTCGCTGATAACTGCCCACCTGTATGAGACCCTAAATGTACTGCGCTATACATCACATATTTACGAAACTGAATTTTATTGGTTATATTTATTTATTCAACACTATGATTATTTACATTGACACCTTTTGATAACAAGAAAAAATATTTTGTTCCTCACTTTAGGACTACTGATGCATTAAAAGTTGTCCGGCCCACTATAAAATCTATTTAGATTATACAAAATAGAAGTAATTTACGAAAAATGTCAGTGACTTTCTGTACATAAATTATCGACTTAAATACGTATGCAATATGTACTTAATAAATTGTAAATATGATATTAAAGAAACTAGTCAGTCCTTTTGGAAGCCAAGTGGCATCGCTAGAGACGTGGCAAGCGGCCGGATGGAAAGTCTTTGATGCCTTGGAGGATGGGCTTTGGTATTCGTTTGCTATGCTACTTGTGTGGACACGATAGCCCTGTCTCACCTCCCACAGACAAGCTGAAAAGCTGGGGCGGCCGCAGAGCAGGCGGAAAATAATAAACGGCTCAAATCCACACAAGTAGTATCCCATACCAAAACTCGTCCCATCCTCCCAAGGCCCTGTGCCTGCTTACTTAGACCCCACTGCTACCAGCCAGTCAGTAATTTAGATTTGACCTAATAAGTTTAGGAATTCAAATTTATAAAGAGGATCGTCCCAGCTCCTTTGAAACTTGACGTTAGACGGTATAATCAAGGCTGAGCCGGATGCTCACCATTTATCATGTTTGTTAAATCCGCAATCTCGTAATTTGTACAATAAGATCTAACGATTTTACCTACCAGACTGCTAGATTTGTGAGCAGATGAGACTAACGCTAAAAGAGCTACACTTGTTAATTGTTATCTTTCGTACTCCTAATCAGAATCCAAAGCGAATAGGGAGCTATGCCTGAGTCAAGAAGATAAAAGTCTTTAAAATATTATGCAAATCATTGACTTAATAAATAAATATTAAAAAAATATACCTTTTCATTCCATACACAACAAAATCACATCAGTAATAGATACCGTAAGAAAAAAAAATATACTTTAGATAGTTATTTTAATATCTGTTTGTATGTGTGTTGCCAAACTAAAACGACAATTGAAAATATTTTATTCTTTTTCAGGTGGCAATAAAAATAATAGACAAATCAAGATTAGACGAAGACAATTTAAAAAAGACATTCAGGGAAATTGCAATAATGAAACGACTTCGGAACCCACACATAGTCAAATTGTATCAGGTGAGCATTCGTTTTCTGAAGATCAGGTTTCAGTCCCAAGAGTTCAAAAATTCACTTACGATGGAACGTTATCTAACTGATAACAAATATTCATATTATTCCGTTGTAAGAAGTAAGGACAGTGGCATTGCAGATACTGATTAATTACGGCTTACCTCTGAAAATCTGAGTATTCTATTACAGAAATGCCTTTTCATGTTTCAGGTGATGGAGAGTACACATACATTATACCTAGTGACAGAATATGCTCCGAACGGAGAGATATTTGGTAAGTATTAAAAGAATTTTCTATAACCTAACCACCGGTACCACAATTACGAGACAGGCCTCGAATGAATTTTTTAGGAGTGACAGTTGTAGTATAATTATGTATCCAAGAAGTTCACTTTAATTCCATCACTCGTAGTGTGTGATTTATTATATCTTTGGTATCGTAGGTAATAGAGAAATCGTATAGAAATTATAGAATGGCCATTTGTGAAACAAGTTCGGACTTTGTATACAATAGACTCACAGCATATGCGCGTAAGACGGGTTTCATTAAATCGTATCTACACTAGATCAAACCGTCGAAAAGTAAGTTAATAATTTCGTTGGACCGTGATGAAACCCTCAATATATCGATGATATGTTTCCCACCTGCGGGTAGATCACCTAGTGTCGCGAGGCCGTATGCCCGAGTCGGAAGCGGCGCGGGCCTTCGCTCAAATGGTGGCGGCGGTCGGCTATTGCCACGCGAACGGGGTGGTCCACCGCGACTTAAAGGCGGAGAATTTACTGCTGGATAAGGATATGAATATTAAGGTAACTCAGCTAAACTGGTATTTAAAAAAGGCACATTACAGGAGCACAAAATATTGGAATAACTCACTTATTGCAGTTAGCAGACTTTGGGTTCAGTAACGAGTACACATCGGGTTCCCCATTGTCGACGTGGTGTGGGAGCCCCCCGTACGCAGCGCCCGAGTTGTTTGAAGGCCGGCAGTACGACGGACCGAAAGCTGATATTTGGGTAGGTATGCTGCAGAGATATTGTTGACATTCTTATTTGTTTCCATTACTAACACAAGAAATAATTCATCATCTCAATTTGAACATTTTCAGTCACTGGGTGTGGTACTATACGTATTAGTTTGTGGTGCTCTGCCGTTCGACGGTGGTACGCTGAGTGAATTACGAAGCGTAGTCGTCAGCGGGAAGTTTAGGATTCCTTATTTTATGTCACAAGGTGAGCGGAAGTCCTGCTGGTGCTTTGCGCAGCCGCTGCGATAACTGAGACATGAAGGAGGAATATAATTCATTTCAGATTGCGAACACCTTATCCGTCACATGCTAGTGGTCGAGCCAGACAGGCGGCTGACGCTTCGATCGGTGGGCAGGCACAGATGGCTTCGGACACATTGTAACACGTTAACCGCACAAACATACGGTATATTAATATTTGTATAACCTAGAGTTTTATGCTATCTTATATACATATATACAAAGTGTTTGAGACAAACTTTCGTCTACTTTCTAATATTAAAAAATAATAAACTAGTTTGATTATTTATAGATATTACTTTGAAGGTAATATTTATATTTATCAGTGTCCGTCGTGTGAAAGAGGAAGATACAAAATGTGGTGAATTTTGCATTAAATGTTTTCATATTTTTTTTAGAGTTATCAGATGGCCATTGCGCATGTCACGTCGGAGTAAACGACACGTCGAGCGGGGCGAGTAGTGCGCTTGCGCAGATGCTGACCTTACCGGGGCTGACACACGAGATTATACAACAGGTAATTTATGTATATTTTTGAAAAGTCCTTATTCGTTCATAAAAACATAAATATTTTCAAGTCAACGGGAATGAACAATTGTTAAAGGCTGTGCCAAAAATTAATCTGGAATTGTGTACAAAAACCTCTTTTGTGTGGCAATCAAGGTTTATATAACAATTTACCAAAAACATTTAAACATCTTCTACTAGACTTTAAAAATCGACTTAATGTACTACTTTTGGAAAAAAAAATATTCTATTAATGATTATTTGCGTAAATTTTTTATTAATATTTGATAACAAATAGTATAATGATATGAATTATATTGTAATGTAATATATAACTATTATTGTAATAATAATATATTTGGCAGAATATGCGAAGTTTACCTTCAAATCTTTATGACATATTCTTGAAAATAAATTATTATTATTATGAAATGTTTTCGTAAATCCGAGTTAATTTCGAATATATTATAATAATCTATAATTGCATTTCAGTCAGTCGAAGAAGAGAGATTCGATCATATCTCGGCCATTTACCACCTTCTTGTGGACAAACATACTCAAAAAGACGAGATCGCACAAATTGGTATGAAATTGTTTTTATTTATCTCGTTTTAGTTCTGATAAAATGTATTTTTTTAAACTAGAACAAAACAGATTCCGATACCGTACAAATATACTTTATGAATGGTTTCAGATTCACTGGAATCAAACCTAGGACTGCCCTTGGATCTCACCAGTTGTAAGGTGAGTGTCTTTGTTCGCCTCGCTGAATTGAGTTTTATATATTTTACAAGCACTAGATAAAATAATCCTCTTTTCTTTTCTGCATTTCAGAATGAGGGTGAAGGTGAAGAGAGTATGGAAGCAGAAGAAACCTTGGCCTATCTCACGGGAGATGGAAACGAGGATATACTCGAGAGGGTAATTTTTTTTTTAAGTTAGGTCTTACTACAATGAAAAGGTCTTCAAACAATAAAAGTTATGTTGACTTTCAGTTCGGCGAAGTGTCGATCCCGAAAGAAGAGCCCCGTCAGCGAGTGACGGACTGTCACGCCACGAGACGCCACACCGTGGGGCCGGGCGATTGCCGACACGCGCAGCACGCGCAGGTGCGTCTGTGTGTCCCTTATACCTATTTACTTCTGTAAACACTTCACGTATGCGATAGGAACGAGTGGCCCACAAGAAAATTCTAGAAATTCGTAATCGAAACAGCAATTTCAGATTAGTTCTCATCTCCCGTATGGTCTAGTGGCTAGGATACCTGGCTTTCACCCAGGAGGCTCGGGTTCGATTCCCGGTACGGGAAGCTTGTTTTTCTTTTTAATATATTTATTTATCGGTAAACAATTATCTTAATTATGTGTTTAAATAATTGTTTTGTTAAATTAAAACTTTTGAAGGTCGGCGAACAGTCGTCGTTCGGAGCCGCCTCGGCCGATCTCAGACCGGCACCACTTTGCGCATCGACACATTTACATGTAAGTTATTGTTTGGAATGTTTATACCAGCGCTGAGTCATGGATTTCGAAATGGCCCATTTTTGTTAGTGTCGGGAGCACAATCAGAACAGTACCAGTCTGTTTTCTCGTGTTTTGCCAATTTATATTGACGAGCTTTGCAGAAAAATTTCCAAAAACACAAATTTATTTTTAAACCGATATATATTCACAAAAATGTTTTCCTTATTTCCTATTTTTACAGTAACTTAATACTAATACAATAGAAAACTATTAATATACAAAAAATACATAAAACAAAACAAGAAAACAGCCAGTCTCTCCAACATAAAGAGCTTAAGAAAATATAAAGTGGTATACGCTTTAATGTCTATCAACATCACATCGAAATCGTTCATGTTCGACACCGGGACCGTTTGCCTCCTCAGCGCCAGGCGGCGGCCCGCGTGTCCCTCCTGCCCCACACGGACTTGGCGGGCAAATTGCCAGCCGTGCAGCACAGGCCTCCGCACCACTTCAGCGTCAAAGACCACCAGCTGCTGAAGCCGCCGCAGGCTATGCTCCAGCACGGTGAGGAGTCAATCTTTTATAAACCGTGGAAGCTTTCGCCAGTGAATTACATGAACTAATTAAAAATAAAACGTCAGGATTAATCGTAGTGTAATTACTAATATGTATAATATGTTTAGCCTCATCGTTCGGGCGACGCGCGTCGGACGGAGGGGCGCACGTCGGACGCGCACACTCGCACACTGCGCCGCATCACGTACGTATACGCACAGTTACGACTCAATTGAGAATAATAACGATACGATGCTTCTCAATAAATTGATATTAATCTCAGTGTTTCGTTTACTTTTCGCAGGTCTCCGACAGCGGAACGACAAATCGCTTAGAGGAGGGTGACCGGACGGACGAGCAGACGTCGGATTCGCAATACAATACCAATCTGTGCAGGTCCGCCCTTAACGGAACTTAACGGAACTCGCCGTTTGCCCGAGGTCTCTTCGAGTAAAGCACGTAAATACTTTGCAGGTACATGTTGAACCGCGGGAGTAACAAGCGGCACACGATGGCCACGCCGGAAGACGCCGCCACCGTCTGCGCATCCAGCAACATGGTGAGTGTCAGACCGAGACGCGAAATGCCAGATTCTTGAGTGTGAGTAGGAGACGGCAGCATCTATGGGTTTAATTTTTTATATATCTCTCTCAGCAGGCGAGTTCTTCTCCGTCGTCGTCGGCCAATATACGTGTCAGAAGAACCGGTCTACTGACGGTCACCGAGAGACCCCCCGGTGAGTGAAGTCACCCTTTCAGTGACAGTCAGTCTTTCTATTGCACTTCAGTATAGAGGAGATCGTTTCACTAAATTCATAATACTTAACGCTCTTTCGAAACCATTGTCTAAATTGTTAAACTTAAACGATTTCTAAACCCCATTCCCCTTAACCCAAAAATAGAAATAAGCATCTCATCTTTATATATATATATATTTTTTTTTTTGACGTTCAAAAGTGCCATTTTAGATGGTCTAATTGAAATAAACGATTTGACTTTGACTTTGAAGCCTTTGAATTTGTGGAATACGTAGAAAAAATTGAATTAATCTTAAGATTGGTTTTAGTGTTGTAGTGTATGTCGATGTTTTTCTTTATTTAGATGATTTTTCTTGAATTTCTCGCTTAAAGTAAAAAGTATGTTTGTCCCTGTCAGTGAGCTGTTTTTAAGTAGAATTCCGCCTGCTGTAGGTTATTTTTGTACATTTGATCGATCGACGTGATTTATGAAAATACTCGAAATTAAAAGCAGAACTCGAGAATTGAGATACATTCAAAACAATTTTTGGCCTATCTAAACGCAACTGTTAAGTTAGCGCAACACTTAGTACTGCATTTTATGAAAAGTATTTAAATAAATCACGTCTCTGTAGTGGCGCATGCGGCTATGCATTTTTGTGTTTTTTTAATTTTGTTTTATTTTTTTTAACACTAGTTATAAGTCCGGAATTAGTTATGGAGGTCGAAGCGAGGATGAAAAGGAACTACTTACCGCCGTCGATTCAAGGACAATATAACCAGGGGTACTCCAGTCCCCCGCGCGCCACCCAGAGCCCGCCGAGTCAGGGGTCCATTACCGCCGGAACCCCTAATTATAAATACATGCCACCCATACCGGGACAGTACCATCAAGGCTACTCTAGTCCCCCGCATGCGAGCCAGAGTCCCCCAAATCAGGGGTCAATAACGGCCGGCACCCCCAGCTTCGGCAAATCTATGAAACCGGTTCTAGAAACGATTCCACAGGGGAGCATTATGGGGTCGATCAAATCCGGTACACCCTCGCAAGCCGCGTCTCCGTTCACCCCGAGCGTGGGTCCATTTTCACCCAATCAGGGTGCCGTCGTGGCCCCCGTCCAAAACCAAGGCTCCATAATCTCCGGAACGCCGATGAGCGTCGAATATTCTATTACTAATTTCAACTTTTCTGCCAACATTGGATCTATTACCAGCGGAACACCGAACTTCAACGCGGCCCTCACGCACAACTTAAATAATAATATGGATAGTGAATGTTACCCTGCAGAGAAGCAAAATTACATCGCTTCGATGAATACTGGCCCACCTCTGAACAACACGGGGTCCATAACGAGTGGAACTCCTAATCCTAACACATGTAATTATTCAAATGCGAACCCAAACGTGGCTTCGATAACTAGCGGAACGGCCAAGTTTTCCAATATCGGCTCGGTTTCGAGCGGAGGCAACGGTTTCCCCGACGTGGGCTCCGTCGGCACTCCGATGGGATCCATCACGAGTGGAACGCCGGTCAATAACATTTTGTCGAGTGGCAACACGATTCCGAGCGGTTCCATAACGGCCGGCACCGCGTACAACAGGCAACGAAAGTATTCGGGACCTCAACGCGGTAAACTTCAAATGTTGCCGACCGTACAGGAAATGGGTAAATTGATTTACTGTTATTCGGGTGGAGGAGAGATTTAGATTAGGAAAATAAAATTATATCGACATATTCTATAGTTTTTCCGATATCATTTTATTTCGACTCGCCGATGTTAAGAATAAATCAATGGATGTGTAATTACGGCGAGGCGAGGTGAGGTTTATTTGTTTATAATTATGCACTGTTTTTGTGGTTTTTGGCTTGTTGAGTGTGTTTGCATTTGGAATTATTTACTATATCTACTTGACTGAATGAAAGTAGGAATATTTGTCGGGAAGAATCAGATTTAATGACAATTTATATGTATGGACATATATTAATTAATGAATGTCGTACTAAACAGCTCGCGAGCACTCGGAACGATATTCGCCAGTCAGGAGAGCGGAGTGCTCGCCCCCGAGACAGACTCATGACATAGCTTCAGCGAGATTGGAATATCAGCAGCTGCAGGTATGGCATTGTATTTGTGTTGACTTCTCTGTCACCGATATGTATTATGAAACCATAGTCTTCTTTGGTTTTTGTTATTTCAATATTTACGAATGGTACACAAATATATTGGTTTTTTTGTATGTTTTATTTCAGCGAGGATTAGAGCGCCGTTCGGGACAGAGTGGAACTTCGCCGTCTGAACCGCGGCTTTATCCGGTCTCCCTGCCCGGTAAATATGACGAAAACAGTAAAATTATTTTTGTTTATCACAAAATATAAATAATTTTGTCGTTTCCAGGATCGCCGATACACGCGGGCGCGTCACCTCCTCTCGACTTGTCCGGCGATTATCCGAGAGATAGGGTAACTTTTTACTTAATCTGTCGTTCTATTGATCAATCAGAAATGTGCATTTCTATTTCTGAGTAAATTGAAATGGAACCGTTCAATCCGATTACGTGATATCTTCTTCTTTACAGGATCTGGCGTTAAAGCTCGGGCTGAACCTGAACTCCCTCTACTCGCCTCACGTGTCTCAAGACGTCTTAAAGTCTATCCATTCGTTTACCAATTTCGGACGAGTTTCGAGTCCCGGGTCTCCCTTACACCAAATAACCGAAGGTCTGAGCTATCTCCACACCGGGTCCATCACCAGGGGCACTCCTCAAAGCCAATCTCCCTTAGACCTCCGTAGTAATGTGGAAATGGAAACCAACTTCCCGCAGTTATTAATTCATCCACAGATCCATATGGTCGCCCATAGATCTTTGAACAACTCCCCGATATCGAATCCTGGATCCCCGCTCGACATGATCCGAGAAGAAATCGGCAACGGAAACCACGTCGGCGACCACATCCAGCGATATTCAACGTATCCGTCGACCCATCCGCAGATCAGTTTGACAGATTGTCTCGGCTCCGAAATTACCCTTGTAGCTTCGAGTTCCGAAGACAGCGTCGACAGTTTGGAGAATTCTAAATACCCGCTACCGCAATTCGTCATCTCGGAACCGTCAGATTTGGATGACAGACCGTCGATAACCAAGGGCATCGGCAGAAAAGTCAGCCAAGAAACGGAAACGGTAGACAAAGACTCGGAAATGTCGTCTCCTAAAGAAGATGACAAATTTCTGGAAAGGCCGAGACGCGGCAGCGATAAGTCGCTCGGCTTCAGCGACGATTCTCTCAGCAACGATTCGGCCAACGCTTCCCCGAATTGTGAGCAAAACGTTCAATCTATCTACTCGAATATAGTCTCCATCAGCTCCGGATTTAGCGAAAATCGAGGGAGTTTTTCCGAACACCGGGAATCGTTTTCGTTCTCCGACCGCGGTAGTTTTTCTGAACGAGGTGATTTAGGCAGATCCTCTTTTTCGGAAAAGTCGGATTTTGGTCGCGGTAGTTTTTCAGAAAAGGGTGAAACGCCTCGCACGTCGTTCTCCGCTCAAGGCGTTTTAGGAGAGGTCAAGGAGTATTACGACGATGGGTGTCTGCCAAGAGAACATTTAGATAAGATACAACGGTCCACTATGGATTTGAGGTTGACGGAGATATGTCGACCGGAAGAAAGAATCCCGATTTTGCTGAGCCCGCAACAGGTTTCGTGCGTTCAGGAGTACTACGAAGTCGCGCTTTCCACGGTCTGCTCCCAACTCGACTCGCACAGGATAGTGGAATTACTCAAAGAGGCCATAAATAAGACCGTCCCGCCCCAGAACATCGTCGAAACCGGTAACACCGACGAGCTGACCGGTTTTTTGAATTTGGAGTATTCCGGAGGTATTCAGATCGAGTTGGTCGTGTGCGAGAATAAAGCGAAAGAGATGAAGGGCTTGAAAATGAGAAGAATTTCCGGAGACCAGAGAGAGTATGGGAAACTATGTCAACAATTGATCACCAGCTTGACCGTTTGAGAGGTTGTGAATGGAACTAGGGTACTGGGAATATTATGTGACTGAATTTGTATTATATGTTTTTATTCAAATTCCTTTTAACTGCAGTTTTTTTTTAATAGAACCCGTTGCCCTAGTTCCGTGTCGTTTTTATTTTCCAAAATAAACCGTCCTGCAGAAATGTATGAAGTTAAGAAGGTCCTCACAGAAAAACCGATTTATGAGATATAGGTGTCATAACAAACCTTCGATTGAACGAGAGCTCGAGCATTTATGCGAACTGTATTTAATCATTCCCGTTTTTGAAACCAAATTTCAACGTTACGTGGGGGACTTCCTACATTTGCGAATTTCTGATAAAAGTACATTTAACGCAATTATTTCGAAAACGTTTTACTACTTTTGTTTACGGCCATAGCGAAGAATCTAAGAGCAGTTTTTGGGGTGTATGATGTCCTCCATCAAATCGAATATTCAATATTGTATATAGAATTAATTTGTAAAGTTTTATGTATAAACTGTTTGTATATTTTGTTCTATTTATTCCGAAATCGTGTAAATATAGTTTTAAGCTTTTTTTAAACCGAGTTTACCGTTTTGTTGCATTTCGTTCGCTTTGGTTTTGATTCACGGCTGGTTCGTGACGTTTCTTCTTTGTTTCTTTCCTTTTCCAAAAAGGTTTTCATGTGATAATAATTAAGTTATACGAAAGTGTCTTAAAATATCCTTTTTATCCCATCATTGAACAAAACGTATAGTTTTAAGTTTAGATCATAGATGTCGCCATAAGTAGTTAGACGTTAAAATATTGTAAATAATATTTTAATAAATAATTCCAATCATAACTATTCTTTTTGTTTCATTTCTTGTGACTCAATCTGCAAAAAAAGATGTGTAGATAATAATAAAGTGATTCACGCCCCGAGGAAGCTAAACCTCAAGCAATGGATACCTAATGTACGGTTGGGAATCGGAGTTTTGTATTAACCACTGCACTTCACTATCGAAACTAATTTTGTAAAATAAAATATTATGTTTATTATGGAACATACGATACAGGTATCACTTATTCCACGTCATTAAATTTGAATCTGTAGGCTTCCCTACTCATCGGCAAAGAAGACAGAGGGTGTGTGTAGGCCGAGAGAAAAAGCCGGCGTAAAAAACTCTCGGTACTCTATAAATAGCAAATCATCAAAAGACACTTATTTTAAAACAAATATCGCAAATTAATTAGCCTGTCTAGCACTAGTCCCAGGCCCTTTTATCAACTAGATAATCGTTAACTTTATAGTAAGCCTTTTTAAACAGCTTTTCTTTAATACATTTCTTAAATTTATTGAAAGGCAGAGATAAAAGAGCCTCTGGGATTTTATTAAAGAAGAGTATCCCTTTTCCCAAAAAAGAATTACTAACTTTAGATAGTCTAGTACGAGGAAATTGCAGTCTGCGTTTGTTTCGAGTATTAACATTGTGCGTATGTTCTATTCTAGTAAACTTATCACTTATTTTTGTATACATACAAAATATTTTCATTAATATATTGCGAGGGAAAGGTAAGTAAGTATATTAATTTCCTTGAATTTATCTCAGTGATTCCCTACATTTTCAATTATAGATTGCTAAAAATATCAGATTAAGCTGAACAGTTTGTTCGTTTGATAAATCGCCCTAGACTCACAAATTGAAAGGGCAGCGATGCATCAATGAAAAATTTTTCAAAAACGGGAACAATTAGTTTTTCTTAAAACGGTAAAAAAAGTACCTATTATATATATATTTTAATGATGAGTCATAATAACCCTTTTAACATAGCCTTAGTTGCAAGTCTATACTAATATTATAACGAGGTAAACTTTGTGAGGATATCTCTGGTTTTACTGAACCGATTTAGGCTTTTACCAACAGAAAGCCACGTTGTTAGAATGTCATAGGCTATAGAGTACTCAAAAAAAACTTTCGTGGTAGTCGGAAAATAAATTTATTTAGTTCCTTATTTTCTATTCTTGCAGTAACTTAATACTTATACAATAGAAAACTTATTAATATAAAATTTAAACTAAGACTTACTTAGTTTAAATTTTTTAAAATTAGATTAAAATTTAGGTTTTATGCTTTAAATAATTTTAAATTTATTTCCTTTATTAATCCTTGTAAATTCCGCCAGTATGCAACTATATCCAACAAATATATCCGTCTTACATGCAATAATATTCAGACACGCGTAAATGGTGTTTCCCTGAGTAGGTAAATTTTTACGCGCTCGCGGCACTGCAAGCCATTACTGCCTCTTACGACCGCGATTGGCACTTGCAGTCCCAGTCTCTCCAACATTTCCGCGTTATATATCCTACCTCTAAGGAAAATATAATGTAAGGTCCCTCCTTACCTCTATCTTGTACCCTACCATACCCAAGACAAACAAAGTTAGATACATAACTAGGTAAAATGGGTAGGTACACTACGTAGAGCCTGATGTAAATCGCTCTCTCCCTTTTCCTCGACAAAAACGCTGCATATCTTCGTGACGCTAATATTATTACTGCGTTTCATCCGTAAAAAATTTACGCTCATGCACCTGAAGAAGTTTCACTTCAAAAACTCCGAAGGTCCTAAATTGCTAAATTGTGTCACGCCTGACCAACTAAAATATTTCTTAGATTGAATGCCAGCATATTAAACATACTGCTCCCTGTCTGTATGTGACTTGCCATAAACCGAATCAATGACGCGGTGAAACCAATTTCTGCTAATTTCTGCAAGAGCAGATCATTATCAACCACGCTTTTTGCAAATCAAAGTAGGCTGCTTCAACTTGTCCCCCACTGTTCTGACGAAAATATACTAGACCAAACTGCTGCTCCTATCCTCGGATACTTACAACATACCGTAGTTGGGTTTTTGAAATTTCCATTTCAGTGTTCCACCCAACTTTTCTACCGCCTTCGTATATTTCAGCGGGTCGCCGCCGATCGGGGCCATACACATACTTGAAGCGGTGGCTGTTGTGCCACCAGTGGCTGCATAACACCAGATCCAAAATTCTTTCAATTATATTTTCTACTGAATTACACTGGCTGAATTCATTAATCATCAAAATAATTTCGAAATGGTCGAACGAATGGTTCTTACCAACGCTGCCTTAACTATTTTCTATTAGATATTATATGATTGTGTTCTGGAGAAAAGTTGTAGAGCTTAATAATGCCTACAAAAGTCAGCAAAGCATATATCTTGCGCTATTTGCGAAATCAAACTTATCTAGTTATATATTTGGAGATATGATAGTTTTAAAATGACTCCACAGAAATTACGGTAAGTACCAAATTATTCGTAAATTTGAAGTCATCCGGAAATAATATTGCTTGGACCTGGCCAAATCGAATGTAGGACCTTTCTGTAAAACAGTTTAAATCAACCGTGTTACGGAAACACGCATTCGGATGAAATATATATTTTTACATGCTAAGTAAGTATATATTTCCTAATCGTCAGTAGGTACACAAAAATGCGCTGGGGCGTCGGAAGGTCTGACCGACAAAGTTATTACAAACAACAATTAATCCGTCTTCCTGGTCCCTGCGGATGTCCTTTTTACTAAAGGAAACGGAACAGGACAATAAAACTATTTATCTTTGTGCTTTTGCATACATTTCCTATTTTAACAAATCACGGAAGTCGGTCACCCTTAAAATTAATAATTGGACAAGTCACCGGAACACGGGATCTCATACATATTTGTCAATATTGTAGCCGATAGCCTAACTAATTATCATTAGAACATTACATAAATTCCTTAATAATTTTTACGACTAACTTTCAAAATAATTCTGCCTTGACGTGTCGTCAACTAATTAACTTATTAGCACTTTCGTAACAGTAACTTCACAACCAACTACATTTTATTTATTTTTGTATCGAGGGTCCAGCTTTATATATATATTTTTTATAGCCGGTATTATTGATGAAAACATCAAAAATATTTTAGTAATAAGTGGTAATTAAGTAGTAAAGAGTTTGTTTTTAATTTACGATATGTAAACGTTAAAAAAAAGTGTAAAAAGTCATTAAATTCAAAGTTAACAATAAAAAAGAAAATGTGACATCAGAAATGTCAATAAAAAGGGCAAGATTAGCACGATACACCAAAGATTGATGGGTTTTAAAATATGTGGCCACGTGAGATCCACAGGAAGGGCCTAAAAAGGACAGGGGTACCCAACATTTTTATGTCATGTTGAAAATAATTATAACAAATCAAATCTTTTTAGATAAATCAATTATTATCTATAGAATTTTTTTTTATAAATAACATTTCATTTTCCTTAATCGTCTTAAAAGACTAATTAGAATCTCAACTTTGCATGTCTCAATTTAAACATAAATGGACGTTTTATTCTTCTAGTTAGGCTTTCATTAATATGTAATTAATATTGTGTGTAACATACTAGGTACTAAATATACATATATTCTATGTTAATATACTTTACTGTATATTATTAAACGCATCCGCGAATTTTATACTTTACTTTACAGTATATGAAGTTTTGTTTCGTTTTATTATATGAATTGATTTATTCATTAATTGCTTCTAAAAAAAGGTTACTAAGCTCTGTGGCGTTTTTGCGCGGGCACCCGTCCCGCCAAATTTTGACAGCACCTAAACGGATGTAACTAATTTCTTTATTTTGTCCCGAAATAAGCTGTTTAGATGAATTCCGGCTTGACGCAAACCCAACTCAAATCTATTTAGATATTGTTAACGGATAATGCTTGTTTTTATCAAAACTGTTTGCCGCCATTTCCGCTTGACAGTTTTTTAATGGTCTTTGGACCAACCAATACTTTTTATTAAAAACTATAATTTTATTAATTACAAATTTTTCATATTTTACAGTGGGGATTATTTTCTTTTTGTAACTATCACGCTACGCTACCTACCCTACAATTAATATTTGAGCTTTCATTATCCAATAAAATAGCGTTATTAGGTATAAAGCTGCTTGTTTGGTTGTCTCTTTGTTTAATGAAATTATTGTGGGCTGTAATAATTTAATATGGGGGCCATTAAGTGTTAATAAATAAATAATTGTTACAGTTACAGTGAGCCCGTGCCGCTCGCTTTTCAAATAAAAACGATAAGTCAAGTGTTAAATTGCTAAAATAAAAAGATTGTTTTTTAAATTAAATCGTGCTAAAATTTCTGTAATAACTTCAATTACAACAAAGAGAGTTATAAATGATTTTCTCTGAAATAATGAACTCTTTGTTTATGGACCGGACGTTTCAGTACTGTCATTATAATTTCGGCAAACAAAAACGATTCAACAAAAGACAGGAAAGCATTATAAATATCTTTCGGCCCCGGAGACGAGAGTAAACAAAGTCGACTTTTGTTACAATCACGTAGATGCGTAGCTTTTGTCATAACGACAAACAGACATACAGGCTGCAGATCCACTGCATTATTAGCCGATGCCGGTTTACAGAATGTTATACGTGACTTTGCATAGAATCGAGATAAAAAGAATATTGTTTGTTGTTTCAGATATTAGTTTTTTTTTTCACATATATCTATAAATGGAATTGTATACTATATAAGTATTTAACTTATACTTTATTTTATTAGTGGAAATAGACGTAGAAAAAGGTGATAAATAACTGTACTATATTATATATTGAAACAAATCCGGTAAATTACCTATACAAGATGTACATCAAGAAGCTAACTAACTATAGTACAATCGTAAAAAATAAATAACCCCAAAAAAATCTACATGAAAAATAATCTGCTTAATTGGGTTCCATTTACAAATCACGAGTTCCGGCCAGGATACGTGTCTTTTGGTTAAAAAAAACAGGAAAGGGACAGTTTAAGATCCCTAATTTTATAGCCTATTGTGAGCCACCGGAACAGAAATCGTTTGAGAATACTTTTATTATACTGTATACACAAAAACCTAACGGAAGCAGACGGAAGACTCAAATATTAACTTTTTGATCCCAACGTCCGGTGGGCGGATATTATTGTTTATTTTATTAATTTTATATAGTCTCAGACGTCTTGACCAACATGGTTTTCCTTTTTGCATCAAACGATCTGACGAAATTAACAAATTAACAATTACGTAGCTCAACCATACCTTGGTTTCTTTAATGCTTTTACTCGAGCCATTAAAAAAAATAATGTACCTATTATATCATTGGTATTAACCCTAATAACACAAATAAAAAATGCACCGTCCAGCTTTTAAATGCGTTTACTTATTCACAACTATCATCATCAAAATATAAGGTGTACTTAATGTAGCTTTTCATCAAAACCAACCGACCAAATAATATTAGTTTTTTCAAAATTGTTAAAACATCCACTTTATTTATGGTCTAAGATCCCGCTATACAACGACCTTCACCGAGATGCTTATTTAATGAAACTTATTTTATATATAATTTAATATGTCAATAAATATAATCCATATGGGTTGCCTAGCAAATTTCAGTCCAGAGTATGTTTAATTAATATTTAAAAAAAAATTTTTTTTTTATAATTTGCATGTAGTAAATTTTTTGAACTTTTTTCAATCAATATTTTTAATCAGGGTAGTATTATATATGTATCACTATAACCTTCTTTTATACTAAAGATGTATATATACTTTAGTGTCACATAAATAATTAATTGATTAAAAACAACCTAACGTTTGTATATTCTATGGGCTTCATACGTTCGATTGGTATAGAATTTATCTAATAATCATACCGGTGAAATGTTTAAAAAAATATTTTTTTTTTAAATTAATTAAACATACTCTGGACTGAAATTTGCTAGGCAACCCATATGGATTATATTTATTGACATATTAAATTAAATGTAAAATACGTTTCATTAAATAAGCATCTCGGTGAAGGTCGTTGTATATCGGGATCTTATACTATTAATTCATAGTAATGTTTAGCTTATTTGAACCTCATTAAAATTACGATACAACACTCATAAATTTTCATACACATCAAAAACACATGTCTCCATTCATAAGTGTCAAATATGCAGAAAAAAAACGACCACCATTTCCGAAAATAAATTTGGCGGGAAACCGAAATAGCGGCGGAAACGTGCGCCCTTATTACCACTCGTATAACTAAAACATCAAAATCAAGTATAAAAATAAATTAAAATACACTGTAACACATCGAAATTATGGTTGAATATCTCATGATGATATACAGGAACATCTGATGTTTTAGCTATAAACATAGATACGGAAACGATTAGTTTCAGGCCACATGCTGACAGGATGCGTGAATTCATTATCGATTCAAAAACACAATCTCTATCACATTTCCACTTCTAAATTTTGAGTAAGTGCGAGAGGGACAGAGAAAATCCCGCATCCGGCTACAAAACCGCGCAATGTGCGTTTAAATATCACCCAACTGTAAAATGACCTGAAAATTAAAAGCTGTTTTAGTAATATCGACTTAAACATTGTGGGAAAGAGTCTAAATTGCATGTCAAAGTCAAAGTACATGTGCTCTTTTATGTTGAAAAAGTTAAGGGTATTCTCGGCTCTATTCAAATTTGCGTCAGTCAAGACTCGAGAGTCAAGACAGAAATCAAAATCGGTCATTCTGTTTTCAACGTTGCACAGGTGCGCTTGTTCCTGCAGTATTTAATTTTAAACGTCGTAAATTATTACTAAGTGTTGTGTTTTAGACGTAAATAAGTGTTTGTGTGGTGTTTAAGGATTGCATAGTCTAGCTTATTTTGCAGCTTAGTCTGGTGAGTTGTATACCATTTCAATATTCACTAGTAGTAAAATATGTTCTTTTCTGAAAATTTAATTTTATTTATTTCATGAAATTATATTTTTTAGTTAATGCATCATGTATGCATTAACAATACAAACATTTGTATTTTTATGATTTCAATTAATTTAAAATAACATATATAAGTCTCATAGTAAATGAATACGTAATCGAGAGAAAAAATATTAATAATGCATAATTAAGGTTATTTACAATAATTTCTAAAATTTACCTATGCTTAGTTTTGATATTTAGGTAGGTACATAGAAAAGTAAAACTGTTTTGTATTATAAGATACTTATTGGTCCCTAGCCCAATACAACGTTACAATTTAATTCTTTTTTTATATAATGATAGCATGCTATTCATAAGGAAGCAATATTCGCTGTACATTTTTGCCAGTTTCCGCCAATTGTCTGCGAACTTTCTAACGACCACCGCCGCCATAATTATCACTTTCCCGCGTTCTTCTCTCTTCCGGTGTCGTGTTCTTTCTTTGAATTAAACCAAATCACGTTGTACCTTCTTTTTTCAATACTTAATAATACTTACTATGTTCATTCTTTATGCAAGTAGCGGTTATTATGAAACTAGTATATTATTTTAATTATATGCCCTTATTAAGATAAAGTAGATTTTAAATTTGTTTTTTTAATATTTAATACTCATGTGTGTTATCAATTTATGTTTACAGAATTTTCATAATGTGCAAATAAAATTGTTGATTAAATTAATTAATCTACATTTAATTTATAAGTACCAAAAGTAATTATAAATTGCTATATACTCGTATTTGCTAAAACCGACAACGCTTTCAGTATGAGATATTAGGCAGCCGCTAATTATGATAGGAAGCTAATTACATCTGCCTATTTACAAACGTTGAAATGAGACGTTAAACGATCGAACGTCACCGACAATACGTTCCTTTTTCGAATTGAGCGGAAGTGTCGATTTCGATTATGGAGCGTCCGCCTGTTTGGCGGGAAGACGGCGCGAGCGTTTCCGTTACACTCGTTTAGGGAAATATACGGCACATGCTCTTGGTAAAAAAATTATAGATTAATGGGACATCTGTATGTATAATATTTTAATTAAGATTAAAAGAGAAATCTTTCAGTGTAATTGCATAAGGATGTTTTGTATCATTCGTTTGTTTCCTAATGGGTGGACTTAGGGATCGATTTAGATAGACGTTTTCAAAAAAGTATAACTAATTCTGATCAGAGCATGTCCTAATTATGTTTAGTAATCTTGAGAAAAATATGAAAATTGCAATATAAAATCCCATTAATCGTATAAATGGCCCCGATAGATACATTCTATTATGCAGCTAACTATACGGATTATTAGTTCAAAGTATTACGTATTGTCATTGCAAGGACGTACATCAATAAACATAATAACATCGGATTTCCGTTACACAAAAATCGGGAAACGCAAATAAAAACTTGTATGGCGACAATACGACGGAAACCGTAGACTATAGAGTATAGCGGAAACCGGATGTGGGCCACGCGACTGAACTAATGACAGTTGTTATCTAATACTCGTAGTAAAAAAAAATACAAAAATGATTTTGCTAATCATTTTCGTAAATCCGAAAGTATCACCCTGCATCTAACTCGGCGTCATCGAGACCTCAAAGTTATTAATACCGATAAGATTGATAACAATTCTATAAATATATTTAAATAATTTTGCTAACAGCATAATAAATCAAACTAGCATGTCACCAACCGCGACCAGTATATATTAATATATTAAAAAATTATAAACAAAAAACATAATTATTTATCACTGAAACAAATGAAGAAGTAAATTCATACTTTACTTTCAGATGCTCAAAATGCCAAGTCAAGCTCGCTGCGACAGAGTTCCCCCCACAGATGGGGTATGGGGCCCAGTGGACCTGAGAGTCTTACAAGAAGATGATTTACCTTTAGGTAGATACATTATTTAAATTTTTTAATATTTTTACTGTATTCGTTCTGCCACACTTTTCTTTTCAGAAATATTAAACACAATAAACGGTCTCCTGTAATGAACAATTATTCATTCCAGACCCTCGGAGCTGGTGTCGCGCCGACGTGGGCATCTGGGTCTCTCGTCGAGGTGGTCTACCCGAACGGTTTCCCATGAACGGGAAGGCACTGTGTCTCATGTCCAAAGATATGTTTGCTGCCAGGGTGCCGAAGGGCGGTGAAGCATTACATCAGGTATAAATCGAACAAAGAATATTTTTGTTGTTCAATGCGTGTTATCGTTTAAGAAAAATCTATACGCGCCGTTAACCTTGCCTTGAACGACTGCGAGCATCACTTAGATAACTCGACTCTTCAAGTGCTTAACTGCAGTTTAGTGGAAAGACAACTGATTATCAATAGTGAAGCCATATGGGACCATATTCTTATATTATATCTCTTTTTTCAGGACTTTAGACGCCGTCTGGCCAAAGCTCTTGCTCTACAAGAACTGCTAGAAAAACTGCAAGCGAAGTGAAATAAAAAATTAGATAATTTATGTTACACATCACTTTTTGTTATATTTTTACCAATTAAATATTGATACGTTATTATAACTTTGTCTGTGTGATACGTTTTCACGGGTACGTATGGAAATAAAAGACGGAGAACATGAGATCAAAAGTTTATTTATCGGTATGGATTAGTTGTAAATAAAGACGGCATTCGTTCGATGTCGTAAATATACTTACTCTCTTTTGTTCGCAGCACAAACATAAAACAGAAATAATAATTTCTCCCGATTTTTTCACTGTTTCAACACTAAGCCTAAAGCACTAGGAAAAATATAGCGATGTGTGAAAGTCTATCAGTAGTCACCGTAAAGGATAGTTTATCGAAAATCGTAAATTGTCGTTATTTCCTAACGTTTAATATAGTATTATAAATATGAAGTTATTAGCTTAGTAGCACAAAACCGTTTTAAATAAATGAATCGGATATCTGTATTTTATAAGTATCACGTTGTTATTTTTTTTATAATACTGCAATTTTTTTTGTCTTAGCAATAGGTAATCTTAACGTAATATAATAGTTAATATACAACATATTCCACGTCGCAACGGGCACCCATTAGTGAAATGTTTTATTTGCGCCTTGTTTTAAGTTCCTACGACTATGTATATTTTGAATAGGATATTTCGATGTATTTTTGTAGCACTTATACATATTAAGAAGGGATATGATGGTCATATAGTGACATCCTGTATGTTGGTTTATCCTTATGATTATATCGTATACGGTAAAAAAGGCGTCTGTTTAATTTATCATTTTCTTAATACGCAAGTAAGATAGTGATAATGGGAGATTTGAATTTTTGAGTATTGTCACTCTTATTAAGTAGATAATTAAAATTGTAAATTAGTTAAAATCTAGTCAAGCATAATTGTAAATAAAATGTTGCTGCACTCTTAGTTTGGTGTTTTTATATTTATTTATTATGTATATCATGGCTAAAACTTTCTTGTTTTGATTTTTTTTGTGTAAAAAAGGAGGTAAACGAGTACGATCTTATCCATGGGGACACTAGTTTTTCTGATTGTTTCTGAGTGCTGAGATATTATCCTCCTATGAGGTTGAACAAATAGCACAACTTTCTTCCTCCAAACATCAGTGGAAAATTAGAAAAGCATTGAAATACCCCCAAACATATAAACTTTATAACCTCGTCTACCGTGTTATTATTAGTATCACAATGAATTAAGAGCAGTAATAAATAACTTAATCTAATGTGAAATATAAGAAATGATTGGCAAAAAGTATTTACAATAGTCATAGCCTATATAGAAATAATAATATTAAAAATGGATAAATAGGCAACTAAAGTAAATTCAAAAAGTTTGGTCCCTGTGGAGTGTATGTATACTGGCAGCATTCCCTTGCTGTATTGCTATACATATATAGCTCTAATGTAATATATAAAGATGAAACGTACTAAATAGCCTATGAAAGCGATAAAAATTTGTACACTGCTCTTGCATGTCTCAATGTAATAAACTCACAAATACCCTATACCATTTATTCTGCATGTACCAAAAAACCGTCTGTTTAAATCCGCAGAATAAATATCACTAACGAGATATTTCAGAAAAGCCACAAACTTCAATTGGTAGTACGTACAGTAAAACGTATTCTTGGCCCCAAGAACTAACGTAGTACGCTTGCGCTCGATTATGCAGATAGCTCGCATATTGTAAGTAGTAGGGGAGTCCACGATGCTAAATGGGGACTTACTCGAGCGTCATTGAGACATATTGAGTTGCGAAGTTTAGATAATAAAAAGAAAATATATTATATAATGTATATCTAGCGGCTATAGATTTTCAAAAATGATAAAAAACTGTGCCATGGACATACTCGAGCGCCTCAGATATAGATAGAATCCATGTCCTACGTATTTGTATTAATGTACGTAAGTTAATCTGATTGTACGCATGGTGGGCGTGGTCGTATATAAGGGTTGAAAATGAAAAAAAAAAAATCGAGCGCGTCAGATTTTCTAAGGGGATGTGTTAAGTGAACCTAAAACAAAGCTCTCATCTTATAATCTGTCGATTTGGATGTAACGTAAACTCGCGGTCATTACGAGGGTGGATTGATAAGTTTCCGGCCTGACTAAGAAAAACAAGATTATTTAAAAAAAATTGTATTTCTCAACATAATCTCCTCCATGGCTGATACATTTCTCATAGCGGTGTTCCAGTCTATTAATGCCATCTCTATAGACTGATTCGTCAAGCTCCTCAAAATAACCATTTACAGCTTCGATTACTTCTTCATTGTCCGCAAATCTCTTACCGCCAAGCCATTTTTTGAGGTTAGGGAACAGAAGATAGTCACACGGGGCTAGGTCTGGAGAGTAAGGAGGGTGCGGCATCAATTTAGTTTTTAAATCGTTGATTTTAGCCGTCGCAACGATTGACGTGTGTGCTGGTGCGTTATCGTGATGAAACAAGATTTTTTCTTCGCAAGATGAGGTCGTTTAATTTTCACCTCGTGGCTCAAACGTTGCAATAAGTCTGCGTAGTATTGACCAGTGATAGTTTTACCCTTTTCAAGGTAATCAATGTATATAATACCTCTTGCATCTCAAAAAACAGTAGCCATAACCTTGTTCGCCGAAAAAATTGTTTTTGTCTTCTTTGGAGTTGGTTCCCCTGGTCCAATCCACTGTTTAGACTGTTCTTTGGTTTCAGGAGTGTAGTGGTGGACCCAAGTTTCGTCAATGGTTACGAATCGACGCAAAAATTCGCTTGGATTACGCTTATACAATGACAAATTTGCGGTAGAAATGTATTTTCGAATCAATTTTTGGTCGACTGTTAGCAAACGCGGCACCCATCTTGCACAGAGCTTTTCCATATGCAAATGTTGGTGCAAAATATGTTGCACACGTTCATATGACATCTTAAGCCAGGTATCCACTATGTTCGCGAACCTCTTGCGCTCCGCGCACTTGCAACAGCTCCGCGTAGTGGATACGTTTGCGCACCGTTCACGCTCCACGTTCGCAAACGTATCCACTACCCGGAGCTGTTGCAAGTGCGCGGAGCGCAAGAGGTTCGCGAACATAGTGGATACATGGCTTTACAGGTCTCAGCTATCTCACGCACTTTCAAATCTGCGGCACTATTTGATGAATTTTTTTTATCATATCTGGAGTTGTGACCTCAACGAGGCGTCCTGAGCGAGGCTCATCAGAGGTGCTCACACGACCCTTTTTAAACTCGGAAATCCATGCTTAACGGTTGAATATGACGGGGAGGATGTCCCCAGTGTTGAGTCCATCTCTTCTTTAATTTCCTTCGGCGTTAACCCCTTCAAATAAAAGTATTTCATGACAGCACGATTTTCCTGCTTTTCCATTTTTACGAAAAAGACAGAGGCGTCTTGTTCAGTGTGCTCTCAAACCTACACTAGCAAGGTGATCGGGCTGAAACTATAGCTACAAGCTATCCAAGGATGTTACTATAGAATGTCACCTTAAGGTAGGCCTAGTGGCGCCATCTCTTGGTCAGGCCGGAAACTTATCAATCCACCCTCGTAATAGAATGTGCAAAAAAAACACCATTTTGAAATACTCAAGCGCGTCAGATTAAGATATATATGGGTCATCTTTATGTCCAGACGTGATGTTTCATTATCTAATGATTATCTGGATTCGCCTAATCAGATAATTTAAAAAAAAATTTTTTAATCATTGAATTTAATTGATTGATAAGTTCTGGAAAAATCAAAAAGTGTATGTTGTTCAATTAGAATTTGTATTTATTATATAATAATTTTAAAAAATGCTTAAAAAGAATAAAAAATAAAAAATTCCCGGAAGAACCTGTTTACTTCGACGATATTCTAAAATATTTATACATTTTTCTGTTTATAATTTAAATTTTATTGATTTTTGCAAAGTAGTTTCACCACAAAATACACTCTTTATGTTACTATTACTCATAGTCAATATTACTCATACTCATTAATATTTTTAAACTAATATAGGCATCACACAGCCGCACGTATTAAACTTTATCGACGAATTTTTCTTACCTTGGCTTGTGGAAATCGTAACATTATATATTTTTCGTCATCCTTGAATTATTTACTTCAAAATAATAAAAAAAATCAGCCACGCTCGAGAATGTCGATATGACGTTTTATTTTTACAACTTCGCAGCCCTCCCCTTTCTTTACGTCACTTGCAAATTATCAGATTAGTGAAATACATATACACTTCTTAGCATGTAATTAACCCTCCCTACCTTAATCTGACGCGCTCGAGAATATCTGATGATTTTTTTTTTACTAATCTGATCCTTTTGTCCTTGACGGGTGGTCATATAATATATGAAGCTCATATTTGGTAGAGGTACTTAACCAGGTACAAGGTCTCCCTGTATATTAATATGCCACGCTGTACTAAATCCCGGAATCCCCGCTTGGGATTATTATTGTAATTTGTAAGTGATTTGCTTTCACAGTGAAGTACCTAATAGTGAAATCCTTATCGCTGATTGTGTCAATGCTAGCTACCACGTTATAAGAGTTTCTAAAATGGTGAAAAAGAATTTAGAATCTTTTTGTTCACAAGTCATCTTGAACTTTGGATTTGGAAGTATCCTTCAGAGTTCAAAGAGTATTAAACATTTGGAAGGAAGACAATATGTCAATTGTCATTTGTCAATGTGAAAAATATTTATGTAATTAAAAAAACAAGAAAAATTCAAAATTAACTTCTGGAATTATTTAATTCTGGAATATAATATTTTAAATAGAAATGGGCACAGTGCACGCAAAGGTGAGTGTTTTTCCTCAGAAGAATGTCTTTACTCAAAGGTTAGGAAAATAAAATAGTCGCATTGAAACCCGTAGTTTTATTTTATTATCTCTACGAATTTTTGTTTCTATTCTACCATTAGACAACTTTTTTGTATGTTTGTTTAAGCCATTATATCTTAAACTGTGTTCAACCCATAACTATTTTGATAAATGAATATTTTTTAGGCACAAGCTGACAATGTAAGCACAGTGGGTGGTTTGTTTGAGCTTGATGAACCAGAAACATTAGAGGTGGCTATCTCAAAACCCACAATTAAATTAAATGGAGTCAGGGTAAGGTTTGTCCGGGGGACAGTATTTGTTTAAAATATTATTAATGGTAATATTACATTTTAATAATTTTGTTTTCACTTATTATGAAATTACTATCCATAAAATGTTGCTTTAAGCACATTTGTGGAGAACTTGGTTCACCAACTAGAAGTAATCTTTTTGTTTACATGTATTTTCAAACATTGTTCTGAATTTCATCTATAATATCATAACCTGTTATTATAGGCACGTGTTGACAGAGTCCATGTAGATGGATTAAGCAGGACAAAAGATGATATTGTCCGTAGTGCTGTTGATGAACTGTTCCATGCTACAGATTTTGAAGATGTAATTTTAAAAGCACACAAGGTAAACATCAGTAATCAATCATAAAACTTTCAAATGTTATTTATTATCTATATATGTATATAAAAATTAATTTCTGTTTGTTTGTCTATATTTGTGGTAAGTTCAGGAAAAGTTTCATTGCTGGTAAACAAACAATGAAATTAAATAATTAAATTTTGAATAAAAACTGTTCCTTCATGGGAAATCTTTGCCGTCTTTTTAGAAATAAAAAAAAATTGTCAATGGTTGTGTGTTGTGTAATTTGTTTTTCAAAGCTTAGTATGAAGTCTGACCTCCTTGGCCTGTTTTAAAGTTAGGTTAATGTTAAGTTAAAAAAAAAGTTTAACAATACACACAAATAGATGTAGGATAGTAAGTTCACCAGGTGATCTAGTGTCTTATAAAAACTACTATACAAATATAAATAAATAGTGACTTATAAAAAAACTTCAGGCTCGTCGCTCACTAGATTCATTGGGATGCTTCAAAGATATAGGTGTATATATTGATGTTTCCAACGGTCCTGGATCTACACCTGAAGGCTTAGAGGTATACAATTTGCTTTTAATTATTTCTTTACAGAAAAATCCCAAACAATGCTATACTATCATCAAGTTTTGAGTTTAATATGCAGCTAAGCGTTTGTGTCTTTAGTTTTAGATGTTCTCCATCTAGTCTTTTTGCAAAATAAAGTGTAACTGAAATTTCAGTATTCAGCTGTGAAATCTGGAAAGGAAATTAAAAATAGTATTTTTATGACTTTCAGGTGACATTTCAAGTGCGTGAGTTATCACGTATAGTGGGAGGTATCAACACAACTGTTAGTGAAAATGAAGGGAATTTAGTTTTAGGTATGTCTTAACATACCTATCTATCATAGAAAGTTTGTACGAATCCAGTTCGGGGTATTGCCTTGCCTTCACAGAACTGTTGTTTAGTAATATATTTAATATGCACTGCAAAATTATCCTCAGTTGCTGCATTGGATTAAAAGAAACTTTTCCTTTCGGTCTACTAAATAAAAATGTCATCATTGCAGAACTTTTCATGTTTATATAATTCTAGGTTAGATTGAGGAATATATGTCTAATTTTCATGTTATATATATATATATATTCATAGTAAGGTACAAATCTTACCTTCACTCATCTAGGTGTCCGTCTGCCAAATGTGGCGGGTCGTGGTGAACGGGTGTCGGCAGAATACAGCCTCGGTCACCGCAGTTCTTCTAATTTCAGCGTGGCTGCCACTAAGCCTTTCCCGAAGAGTGCACTGCAACCAGTGTAAGTTATTCATTCACTTTACTGAGATGCCCACTAACAGTAGGTGTGATCGGTTTTAGTTTAGAACATGTTTTACTGTATTTGTATCATATTTGGTTGCTTAATTTCCAGCGTGACCACATCGGTGTACCAACAGAATCATGAATATCCATGGTCTGGGTACAGGCTTTTGGATCGAGGTGTCTTATTGGATGTCGCCTTTAGGACTTCACCCGCTGTGAGATTTTTCAACATTCTAAGTTAGTCTTTTGAGACAAGAAATGTATATTTATGTCGTTATTTTTGACACTTTTCAGACCAAACATAACCTTCAATGGGAGGGCATGGTGCGCGATGCGTCCGTTCTTAGTAAAACTACCAGCTTCAAAGTAAGAGAGAGCAGTGGTAAGAATAATGTCTATTACTGCTTGTGAATTGTATGCGGATTACACTATAAATAGATATATTACAGTCAAAACCGTTTATAACGACATTGAAGGGACCGCATAGTTGCCGACGTTATATCCGATAGTCGTTATAAGCAATGTCATATATATACACATTACACAAGTATAGTAGGTACATATGTATGTACATAGTTATATTATCATAGTTATCTATCTAGAATAGGTAGGTATGGGTTATAATATGTTATGTTTATATTCTAACTAGCTAAAAAACCCGGCTTCGCCCGGGAGTAGATATGAGCTGACGTGGTAGAGTCGAAATAAAAAAATAAACTATGACGTAAAAAGTAAAAAAAAAAGTTTATTGAAAACGTTTTCTCATTATTTACAATACTTGTTTATAAACAACATTTTTCATTTTATTGTCCGGAGTATATATACATAAATTTTTCGGATTTCCTACTCTTGAGCAAGCTACACATAGCTGACCGTGAGAGAAGCAGGATTCTTTGAGGTTAATGCCACAATATTTTAAAGTTTGTCCTTGCGCTTTGTTAATTGTAAAACTAAAGGCTAATTTTATTGGAAACTGCAGTCTTTTAAATTGAAATGGCAATTCCGAAGAGATCAGAGGTATTCTAGGTATAAATACTGTCTGTCCTTTGGTCTTTCCAGAAATAAGTTCAGCTTCAATGATATTATTCGATAGCTGTTTTACGATCATTCTAGTTCCATTACATAATTTTGGGGAGTTGAGATTTCTGAGTAGTATGATTGGAGTTCCAATTTTCAGACGAAGGCAGTGTAATGGCATTCCTGGTACTTGTAAAGAGTTTAGAAATTCAGTGGGGAAGTTGACACTTTCTTCAAATGATATTATATTATTTTTAGTGGCCAAAATTGCTCTTTGAAATAACCACTTTTTTTAATGTTTTGAGAACTAATTTGGATAACTAAAATTATGTCGCTTTAACTCCAAAATATAAGTTAGCTAATGACGTATAAATACACAAAATTTAATAACTTTATTATAGCAACAAATTAAATTTAAGACTATTGAAATTGGAATTTTAAATTTCGTGTCACTACTACATATGCTACAATTGCTCGCAACGCTTTTGGAAATTCAACCCAAACAATCGTTGTCCTGAATGAAGTTCAAATATTCGATAACAGATGGCGCCACTATACTTAATTTCCAAGTTGTAGGGTTGGAAAGTTCCTTATATCTTTAGAAACACGCCCTTCAGATTAAAACGGGAACTTTCTAGCTTCTGTAGCGGTAGCGTATGTAGTAAAGGCGCGAAATTTAAAAACCTAAATTAAATAAAAAAATTTAAATATTTTGAGAAATAATTTGGATAACTAAAATTATGTCGCTTTAACTCCAAAATATACGTTAAATAATGACGTATAAATACACAAAATTTAATAACTTTATTATAGCAACAAATTAAATTTAAGACTATTGAAATTGGAATTTTAAATTTCGTGTCACTACTACATATGCTACAATTGCTCGCAACGCTTTTGGAAATTCAACCCAAACAATCGTTGTCCTGAATGAAGTTCAAATATTCGATAACAGATGGCGCCACTATACTTAATTTCCAAGTTGTAGGGTTGGAAAGTTCCTTATATCTTTAGAAACACGCCCTTCAGATTAAAACGGGAACTTTCTAGCTTCTGTAGCGGTAGCGTATGTAGTAAAGGCGCGAAATTTAAAAACCTAAATTAAATAAAAAAATTTAAATATTTTGAGAAATAATTTGGATAACTAAAATTATGTCGCTTTAACTCCAAAATATACGTTAAATAATGACGTATAAATACACAAAATTTAATAACTTTATTATAGCAACAAATTAAATTTAAGACTATTGAAATTGGAATTTTAAATTTCGTGTCACTACTACATATGCTACAATTGCTCGCAACGCTTTTGGAAATTCAACCCAAACAATCGTTGTCCTGAATGAAGTTCAAATATTCGATAACAGATGGCGCCACTATACTTAATTTCCAAGTTGTAGGGTTGGAAAGTTCCTTATATCTTTAGAAACACGCCCTTCAGATTAAAACGGGAACTTTCTAGCTTCTGTAGCGGTAGCGTATGTAGTAAAGGCGCGAAATTTAAAAACCTAAATTAAATAAATTTTTTTAAATATTTTGAGAAATAATTTGGATAACTAAAATTATGTCGCTTTAACTCCAAAATATACGTTAAATAATGACGTATAAATACACAAAATTTAATAACTTTATTATAGCAACAAATTAAATTTAAGACTATTGAAATTGGAATTTTAAATTTCGTGTCACTACTACATATGCTACAATTGCTCGCAACGCTTTTGGAAATTCAACCCAAACAATCGTTGTCCTGAATGAAGTTCAAATATTCGATAACAGATGGCGCCACTATACTTAATTTCCAAGTTGTAGGGTTGGAAAGTTCCTTATATCTTTAGAAACACGCCCTTCAGATTAAAACGGGAACTTTCTAGCTTCTGTAGCGGTAGCGTATGTAGTAAAGGCGCGAAATTTAAAAACCTAAATTAAATAAAATTTTTTAAATATTTTGAGAAATAATTTGGATAACTAAAATTATGTCGCTTTAACTCCAAAATATACGTTAAATAATGACGTATAAATACACAAAATTTAATAACTTTATTATAGCAACAAATTAAATTTAAGACTATTGAAATTGGAATTTTAAATTTCGTGTCGCTACTACATATGCTACAATTGCTCGCAACGCTTTTGGAAATTCAACCCAAACAATCGTTGTCCTGAATGAAGTTCAAATATTCGATAACAGATGGCGCCACTATACTTAATTTCCAAGTTGTAGGGTTGGAAAGTTCCTTATATCTTTAGAAACACGCCCTTCAGATTAAAACGGGAACTTTCTAGCTTCTGTAGCGGTAGCGTATGTAGTAAAGGCGCGAAATTTAAAAACCTAAATTAAATAAATTTTTTTAAATATTTTGAGAAATAATTTGGATAACTAAAATTATGTCGCTTTAACTCCAAAATATACGTTAAATAATGACGTATAAATACACAAAATTTAATAACTTTATTATAGCAACAAATTAAATTTAAGACTATTGAAATTGGAATTTTAAATTTCGTGTCACTACTACATATGCTACAATTGCTCGCAACGCTTTTGGAAATTCAACCCAAACAATCGTTGTCCTGAATGAAGTTCAAATATTCGATAACAGATGGCGCCACTATACTTAATTTCCAAGTTGTAGGGTTGGAAAGTTCCTTATATCTTTAGAAACACGCCCTTCAGATTAAAACGGGAACTTTCTAGCTTCTGTAGCGGTAGCGTATGTAGTAAAGGCGCGAAATTTAAAAACCTAAATTAAATAAAAAAATTTAAATATTTTGAGAAATAATTTGGATAACTAAAATTATGTCGCTTTAACTCCAAAATATACGTTAAATAATGACGTATAAATACACAAAATTTAATAACTTTATTATAGCAACAAATTAAATTTAAGACTATTGAAATTGGAATTTTAAATTTCGTGTCACTACTACATATGCTACAATTGCTCGCAACGCTTTTGGAAATTCAACCCAAACAATCGTTGTCCTGAATGAAGTTCAAATATTCGATAACAGATGGCGCCACTATACTTAATTTCCAAGTTGTAGGGTTGGAAAGTTCCTTATATCTTTAGAAACACGCCCTTCAGATTAAAACGGGAACTTTCTAGCTTCTGTAGCGGTAGCGTATGTAGTAAAGGCGCGAAATTTAAAAACCTAAATTAAATAAATTTTTTTAAATATTTTGAGAAATAATTTGGATAACTAAAATTATGTCGCTTTAACTCCAAAATATACGTTAAATAATGACGTATAAATACACAAAATTTAATAACTTTATTATAGCAACAAATTAAATTTAAGACTATTGAAATTGGAATTTTAAATTTCGTGTCACTACTACATATGCTACAATTGCTCGCAACGCTTTTGGAAATTCAACCCAAACAATCGTTGTCCTGAATGAAGTTCAAATATTCGATAACAGATGGCGCCACTATACTTAATTTCCAAGTTGTAGGGTTGGAAAGTTCCTTATATCTTTAGAAACACGCCCTTCAGATTAAAACGGGAACTTTCTAGCTTCTGTAGCGGTAGCGTATGTAGTAAAGGCGCGAAATTTAAAAACCTAAATTAAATAAAAATTTTTAAATATTTTGAGAAATAATTTGGATAACTAAAATTATGTCGCTTTAACTCCAAAATATACGTTAAATAATGACGTATAAATACACAAAATTTAATAACTTTATTATAGCAACAAATTAAATTTAAGACTATTGAAATTGGAATTTTAAATTTCGTGTCGCTACTACATATGCTACAATTGCTCGCAACGCTTTTGGAAATTCAACCCAAACAATCGTTGTCCTGAATGAAGTTCAAATATTCGATAACAGATGGCGCCACTATACTTAATTTCCAAGTTGTAGGGTTGGAAAGTTCCTTATATCTTTAGAAACACGCCCTTCAGATTAAAACGGGAACTTTCTAGCTTCTGTAGCGGTAGCGTATGTAGTAAAGGCGCGAAATTTAAAAACCTAAATTAAATAAATTTTTTTAAATATTTTGAGAAATAATTTGGATAACTAAAATTATGTCGCTTTAACTCCAAAATATACGTTAAATAATGACGTATAAATACACAAAATTTAATAACTTTATTATAGCAACAAATTAAATTTAAGACTATTGAAATTGGAATTTTAAATTTCGTGTCACTACTACATATGCTACAATTGCTCGCAACGCTTTTGGAAATTCAACCCAAACAATCGTTGTCCTGAATGAAGTTCAAATATTCGATAACAGATGGCGCCACTATACTTAATTTCCAAGTTGTAGGGTTGGAAAGTTCCTTATATCTTTAGAAACACGCCCTTCAGATTAAAACGGGAACTTTCTAGCTTCTGTAGCGGTAGCGTATGTAGTAAAGGCGCGAAATTTAAAAACCTAAATTAAATAAAATTTTTTAAATAATTTGGATAACTAAAATTATGTCGCTTTAACTCCAAAATATACGTTAAATAATGACGTATAAATACACAAAATTTAATAACTTTATTATAGCAACAAATTAAATTTAAGACTATTGAAATTGGAATTTTAAATTTCGTGTCACTACTACATATGCTACAATTGCTCGCAACGCTTTTGGAAATTCAACCCAAACAATAGTTGTCCTGAATGAAGTTCAAATATTCGATAACAGATGGCGCCACTATACTTAATTTCCAAGTTGTAGGGTTGGAAAGTTCCTTATATCTTTAGAAACACGCCCTTCAGATTAAAACGGGAACTTTCTAGCTTCTGTAGCGGTAGCGTATGTAGTAAAGGCGCGAAATTTAAAAACCTAAATTAAATAATTTTTTTAAATATTTTGAGAAATAATTTGGATAACTAAAATTATGTCGCTTTAACTCCAAAATATACGTTAAATAATGACGTATAAATACACAAAATTTAACAACTTTATTATAGTAACAAATGAAGTTTAAGATTTTATTGAAATTGGAATTTTAAATTTCGCGCCACTACTACACATGCTGCAATGGCTCACAACTATGGAGACTATACACTATGACTATTGGAGTGTATAGTCTCCATAGTTGTCTTGAACGAAGTTCAAATATTCGATAACAGATGGCGTCACTGCACTTAATTTCCAAGTTGAAGGGTCGGAAAGTCCCTTATATCTTTAAAAACATGCCCTTTAGATTAAAACGGGAACTTTCTTGTTCGAGGCCCCCCTCGAACAAGAAAGTTCCCGCTAGATACTAGATAGAAGATAAAGGGCTATCACACCACATAAGTCCCTTTATCGTGTCGGGACTCCTTTTTAAGTTTTATCGGCACGCACATTTTATCGACTTAGTTTTATTATATATATAGATATAGATATGGACAGGAGTCAAAAAAGAAACAAAAATATTTATTGCGAAATAATTAGGTACAAAAGTAATCAGTCATTTTGGTCTGTTTTTTTTTTTAACCCCAGTCTTAAATATTTTTTGCATTTTATCTATATGAATTATGACATGAGATTTTTATTCAATAGAAAACACTTTTCTCTTTTTTTGCGACATGATAACACATAAATGCACAATTGCACAGTCTAAACAACACAACTTTTAAATCAAACTGTTACTCACGCAGTCAATTAGCGAACTAAACACGTGTAAAGTATGCAAGGTCAAATGGCCGGGAAGAGGTTCGGATGAGGCGGGAGAAAGTGCGTAGGTAATAATATGCCTAATATTCATTCAATGCTTATAAATAAGATTTAAATTCGTTTGTATTGTTTTGTTTTGCGGAGAGGCGGTTGGTCGTTATAGCCGATGAATATCGATAAAATTTCGTCGTTGTAAGCTATATGTCGCTGTATCCGATGTTGTTATAAGCGGTTTGTTTACTGAATAGTTTACTAGGGATTCGGACGGGACCAAACAATCTGGTTGTAATAACCGATAGGTCGTTGTAAACGATGTCGTTATAAACGGTTTTGACTGTATATACTAATATTAGTGGGTAATTAAATATTTTCTATGTGGGGTGTAAAAGGATACACCAACATTTAGTTTAAGTTGACTTCTTTTACAAAGTCTTCATAAAAATGCAGAAGTAATAAATAAAATGTTATTCCAGGTCCAGTCCTAAAGTCGGTGATCCGTCACATCGTGACAGTGGATCATCGGGACGAGGCCATTTTTCCCACTCACGGTACTTGGGTTCAGTTCTCGAGCGAGTTGGCAGGATTAGGAGGGGGCGTGGCTAACATTAAGACGGAGTTGCAGGCCGAGGCCAATAAGGAGATCGTGCCCGGTGTTGTAAGTGGGCATTCATTTTTTATATCTCTTTAATTAAAAACAAACCGGTACTAATTTATCTGTTTCAGGTCGTCCAACTGACGGGCGCGGCCGGGGTGCTCCACGACGTCTTCGGGACAGAGATACCAGAGCTCTTCTATTTAGGAGGACCTGCCACTATTCGCGGATTTCAGCAGAGAGGCGCCGGGCCGCATTGCGACGGCCTCGCCACCGGTGGCACGGTGAGTGGGATTGAGTGGAGGAAAATTAATTGATCAAATCGGGTTAAACTAAATTTCGGATCCTAATTATAAAATTATAATTATTTCTTTGTCACCAGATGTACTGGGCGTCCGGTCTACACCTGTACACGCCCCTCCCCTTCCAGCCGGGGAAGGGAGGATTGGGAGAACTGTTCAGATCTCACCTGTTCCTCAACGGAGGATGTTTGGCGCATCCAGGTAAATATTATATACTGAAAGATTACTTTAACTAAAACTAGGCGTCGCTAAAATATAAAAAAAACGTGTGGCACTCGGGGACTGCCGCGGTAAAGCTATTGCATAGCATTACTTATCACCTTATGCAATTATAATTATTTCTTTATTTTTTATTTATGCAGATTTTTTTCTCTTTGATATAATTTCTATCTACCACTCTACCAGACTCAGACTAACACGCCTATATAGTCTGTCTCACTCTAACGCGTACCGCGCTTACGCCACGTCGCGTGAGAGATGTGACGCAGTATGCGTTCTGTCCCGCTCTAAAGCGTATTGGCCGCATCTATATTACGTTATCGTGTGTTAGGAATTTCTTAATTCGGTCGCCGCGCTCAAAGACCGCGATAAAGTCTATGCAATAGCTCTGTCTAAAAGGAAAGACCGTCTGTCCGCAGAAGAGAAGACGCAAGCCATAATCGAGTCGCTGTCCTCCGTGCGAGTGTCGTGCGGGGCGGGAGTGGCGCTTCGCTTAGGGCGAGTGGCTCGCGTCGAGCTCAACTACTGCTTCCCTCTGCGGGCGGCCGCGGGAGATGCGCCCGCGCCGGGCATTCAGTTGGGCGTGTCTGCGCATTTCCTATAGTATCACCTGTGTTGCAAAAGGTGAGAAATTATGTTATTATAAAACAACGTGCTAACCTCGTCTCGTGTTAGACTTCGAACAATACGGCTTCTGTCCCAGACATTATTCTGGCCAAATATGACCCAACAAATTTCCTTATTTATAACGTCAAAAATCATTCTGTTAGCGAATACCTGGAGTCATATTTCTGTATCAGTGTTATTTACAAAGAGATTCCATAATCTTGTTTTGTTATTCTAGAGAATAAGGCTCACGGTTTGATGGTTAATGGTTTCAGTTCCTTTTACTTTTATCGCCAAGGCATCAGCCCCAATTCGAACCACTATTTGCATTACCTACAGTTTAACATACGCCTTTATTTATTTTGCTTTCAGGTGGTTGTAGCGATGAATAATTTATATATAATTTTTATTTATGTTTCATTCAGATGAACTAAAATGTAAATTATTAGTTTTATTACGAATAGTGTTGATGTAATTAATATTGTTACCGGACTTGTTGTTTTATTTTCCCCTTTACAAAGTAATCTAAGTACAATAGTATATTTCATTACGAGTGCGGAAAGCCTGTCATTGCAAAGAGTTCCGACAAATGTGAGGTTGATGACGGTTCCATGCGTGTACTAAATTTAATACAGTTGCGAAAAAATGAAGAAATTGAATTAAAAAAAGGGTGCGTGTACTTATGTACGCGCGTAAGAAGTTATACTTCTTTGGCATTATTAAAAATAGTTTGGCTTTGTTCCACCTCCAGTTTTTGATGTTTCACAGCGATAAGATGACAACTCTTTTTTTGTATTCAATTTAGTGCACTTACACTGATTCATCAATTGTTTTTTGTCTCTTGTCCTTATATTTGCTAGATAAAATCAGAAAATTTACATGTTTTGATTAAACAATGTGGTAACAATAATACAAACTGATAGTTAACCTCAATTGTAATGAAGCACTTAGGAAGGTTGATGAGCACAGTTTTTTCACAAATATTAATTAGTATTGGTTTAAATATTCAATTTAAATCACTTCTGATTATATATAATTCAAAAAGCATTGCTAAATTTCTTTGAAAAAATAATTTAAACTCCTTTATTTGTTTAAAAGGTAAATGACAAATGTCATTATGGTCATTCAAAATTCTCGGCATACGAACTTCACGCATATTCTATTTCTTTTTACTTGTAGATTGTCTTATTCCTATCTCGCTCGCGCACGCTATATCACACTCCTAATTTTGTGTCACAGGTGCGCGCGCATCGTAAAATTTCACTCTCATAAATTTTTCATAACGCGCCTAAAGAAGTATAACTTCAAAAATATTTATAAATTTAGGGGTGGTTTAATTCAAACTAAATATCGTCGAAATTACTCATTTTGTGCAACAAACAACTAAACTCACAAAGACAATTTTTGGCGCCTACCGTAAATGAATATAAGCAGAGATTTTTTTTTTGTTTTCTTCACTCATTCTGGGTAGGCAAAGGGAACTACGTCCATGCAGCCAAGTCTTCAGTAGAATTTTTTTATTGATATGAAATGAAATTTAATGAGAAGAAAGAAAACCTAACTTAACTCATTGAATCAAATCATTAAATCTGATATTGAAACAAAATAGTAGCTTATTTTTAGAAATAATTGCATGAATCATAAAAACTTCTATGATTTTTTTAGGAAAAACTTTTTAATTGTCCCTATTATATTATCACATCTGATACTTACATCAAATAAAATTACATTATTGGTTCAGCGTCATCGTTGTCAAGAGACAGCAGTTACTCTTGTGAAATAATATTAATAGCATTATATATTCGATTATGAAACAAATAAATAAGAAGTAACATAATTTACTATTATTAGTATAAAACAATATTATCACGTCGAATGTGAAAAATGTAATTAGTAACGCATTTGAACATTACAAATTGATTAGTACCATGCTATCAAAAAGGAATAGTTGCTAGTAATTTATATGTTTAGCATAAATGAAACCGCAGTTTTTATCAACGTTAACTTAATTTTTTTTATCTGAATACCCAGCTATATAAGCTAAAGTGTCTAAAAATGATGACCCCTCGTAAATATTTGATTTCGACACCATATTCACCAACTCACCAACACTTTTTGTTTGATTGTGTACGAGTTTCGTCAAAACCGATTCAAATTTAGACAACTTGACGTGTGTGACATCTGCGACATCATCAAATAGTTTCCGCGCCATTTCTTCAGTCACATTCAGGCCGTCCACGATATTATCTACAATAAAAGATATTGTAACACATGGATAATACTGATTTTTATCATTATGCTAATTACTGTGTTCGATTTAGAAGAGGAGAGATGAGTCAGTCTCAGATACGTTGTGTAAAGTATTATTTTTTTTTAAAATAGACAAAATTCAAGTTCAATTTTCGTTTGGTCAGGACTTCCAATTAGGATATTTGAGTAGGTATGGTACCCTTGGTTACCCAATATATGGTAATTATGTTGAATTTACTTCCTTGTCGATCATACATTTTACTTACTATCTTTCAGTAACAAAATAATATTGTCCACTGAATTTAACTGAGAATTTTCTAGTTTTTTAAAAGTAAGAAATAGGTAGACAAAAAGCAAAACACACATTTTATAATTTTGTGAAATTCAAATATCATGATTTTAATAATATTCAAAGAACATTTGTCAAATCAAATTATAACAGATAAAAAATGTAAATAGGTAGACAACAAAAGATCCGAAATACAAATATTACACGCATCATTTAATACCCATAAAGCGAGTATTCATGATGTGTATTTTTGTTATAATTGTATTACTTCATCCATTTTTCTATATAGTTTTGTTGTCAGCTAAACTAAGGAAGTTCAGCAGTAGTATCCTATTAATCCTAAAGTGTAAAATGTTGTGTAATCTTGTTTGACTCTCGTTCGTTAAAATCAATCTTTTTTTTATTATTGTTTTTATTACGTTACAGGTTTATAGAGAGCAACAGTGATAGGAGTCCCAGCTTAGTGGTAATTTTAGATTCTTAGCAACTATTTAAAAAATACAACAAAAACTTTGAATAAACAGTCTTTTATTAATAAAAACAAGTCATTTGTCAATGTATAAGATCGTAATTTAACTTAAATGTACCTACTTGGGTAATTTTAATTTTTAACGAGTTTGCTAAATAAAGTTATCTCATAAATATAAAATTCGTAGATTTTTATTCGAAGGTTTTATTACAATTTAACAAAGGTAGCCTTCGAATTATATAAATCATATGCTTCTCGTAGGCTTCTGTTTATATCTTTGTTTAATTGAGTTGCCTACTTCAGTCATAAGTTTAATTTCATTATAATTTCAATTATAGACGAACTGATTCAATACAATTTATTTACTTAAAATATTTTGTAATCTACTGCTTCTGACGAGGTAGCTATAGGTAATAACTATTTCTACGAATAATTAAATTATCTATTTTATTTTAGGAGTAATTAAAAAATAATCGACTTCAAATACCTGTTTACCTAGATGCTTACCTATATTATAGATCTAGAAATGTGTACACATCTTAAAAACTGCTTAACCAGTTTTGATTAAACTTAGTGTGTTCCATAACTTGGAACAAAGCTGATTTAAATCAGGTAAAGCTGGAGACCGAGATCAACTGAGTATTTTGTAGATAAACATACATATAGGTATACACTTTCGAAATTTAGCCACGTGCTTCCAAGACTAAATACATCACACTCAAATGTCCAATTCCAACGATATCAGAAACCAATAAATTGACGATCGCAGACGGTCATAATGTGAATCAAATTTTATCAGAGATTTTTTATGAAAGAAATTGAACTCTTGTGTTCAGTGTTGGGTCTAATTTAGTAGGTATATTTATTCCATGTTCATTAATCAAACTATACAGGTAGGTTAGATAAATCAGTGTCAAAAAATATAGATGACAGTAAAAATGCCTGCGCCGGCGCAAGGAACACGGTGGGAAGTAGGTATAATCCCTCTCTGGGACAAGTTGATGAAATCCAATCTGAAAAAAAATATCCCATTGAGATAATATAATGGACGACACAGTATGGCTAGCGGTTGAAATTATAAAAGAAAAAAGAGTTAAGTACAATAAAATAGACTTTAAATCGATGACAAAAATAAAAGTCGTCAAGTATTTTTGCTATTATAAAAAAATATTCATTAAATTGTAAACATCCTTCAGAATTCGTTTAAAAATCTATGCTAGTCCCTAAGACTCAATAAAAGACACGAACGCAAGATGCTATAATTAATGAAAAGAAATGAGTCTTTTATCATAATGTCATAATGTTTTATTTTTTTTATCTAATTATTTATGAAAGTCTGTGAGTATTCATCTCACCAAATCTCGATTTTGGGGTCGCTACGAGCTGTAATAATTGCGCTTCGTTAATGTCCAGAATTCTACATTTAACGTATAAATAGCTCGATGCCGCTACTGTGCTCAGCCAGCTGGCCACTGAAAATAAATTTCATATAATTTTCAAGCCCACCAAACTGTTACTAAATTTGTTTAGGATACTTCAAGAACTAAGTGACACAATAGGTAAATTGTATTTAAAAGTGTGTATTTAATTTAACAATGGAAAACAGACACAAACATGAATATTTTTAAGAGCATTATAATAAAAATGGAAATTAAATTACCAAGGACCAATGCGGTGAAGACGTCGGACACATACAAAGCGCCTTCTGCTTCCCGCAGCAAATTACAGCAGTCCACATATAACAGCACTAACGCTGCAAGTTTGCTGGTCATTCGGCCTATTGATTTAAAAACATTACTGTCCGAAAACAACAGTCGTGATTGTTACGTGTATATAATATAGGCTCTATAAAATCCACTATCGAGACAATTGCGTCTGGTATCAATGTGGAATCCAGGTATAAACAATTATAATCCGTAAAAAAGACATATACTTATACTGTCACACTCAGAGTCGTTCATTAATTCAATGAACGAATGAAATGTCAGGCAGTGGAGGCGGATCACCTACTTGCCTATTACATTTAAAAATGATCATGAAACAGATTCAGAAATCTGAGGTCAAGACCTAAAGAGGTTGTAGCGCCACTGATTTATTTTTATATGTCAAACGTTGCAACTTAACATCAAATTTAATTGTTTACTAAATAGTGTTAGCTAGCCAGGCTTCGTAATATACATCAGCCTTGAGGAGGTAAAAGGATTTAAAAAGGAGTATAAAACAAAAATGTATTGATTAAAAAAAATAATAAACTAACACAATATCTAATTAACAACATAAGTATCTCCTATTTGGTATTTTCTATTTGTTTAAAAAAATAAAACCTTATATTTACAGATACAAATTTCGATTTATTTACGATAATCATAGAAAAGGGGGTTTCCCTTTCAATTTATGATATCTTTACTTAAGCTGTTAGGTAGTGAAAACCTACTTTTAAGCATTTTCTACATACATATTGTACACAATCGATTGTTATTGAAAATCCTTTTGGCCTAAATTTAACATTGTTTGAGCCAGAAATCATCAATATACTTTATTTACTTACTGTTCTGCACTTTTGATGCACCACAAATGCCCACTAAATAGGGCAAAAGTGCTGTAACTGCTGCTGTTTTTAGATCTTCCATAGAAGGGGTCGGGGCTTTGCCACACTAAAATCAACTAGTTTTGTTATATCACATCAAAGTTCAATATGATAGCAGGCAACGAGTGAAATATCAAAAAAGAATGAATATAAATTTTCCTTTATATTTTTCAGAAGCTATTTTAATTATCGTGTTTTCGTTTCAATTGCAATTATGCTTTTCTCGGGGTGATTTTTACGATTTTATATTTCGTTTGAAATCGAAAGAATCCGTTAACTATATATTTGTTAATAAAGCAACCGAGTACCTACTGCTGGTACAATTAATTATTAAACAGTTTCATTCACATAAAATATGTTTTTGCTTATATGACGGTGAATATAGGTACCATAAAATGTTAGTGAAATCCGTATCAGTTTCCCAAACTTACCAATAAAAGATGTATTACTGGTATAGTAAGCAAGGATAGTACATAGTTGCATCCAACAAGTAGAGGGGTAGCACCATTCGCATAGAGAGACAGAGATAACCACCCACACGGACCACTTGAGCTGGCCAGCAATGCACTTAAAAGTACAGAAATCGATTAAATAAAGATCTTATAGTATGAATTATTCTAAACTAACCACGAAATTGAAGTTATTTGTATAGCTTACTTTTACCTTCAAGCTTCAAATCTATTTACGTGTATCCCCAACCCTAAGGGTAAGATTCAGAAACGAGATTTAGTACTGAGTTTGACTCCGGTGCGTCAAAAATGTATTGGATATTATCCTACGGGAGTCATAGTTCGCGCTAAGTCTCGTTTTATAAATATCAGGGTGATATTGTGATGTCTTTAAATGGTGTAAACTATAGACTCACCCCTCCATAACACGTCTGTCAAGTGCCACAGATAGTGCATTAACAGTGACAGCACATAAAATAACGCTAGCAATATTTGCGTGGAAGGCTGACAAGAAGTAAACTCTGGCGCGAAGCGGTTGAAATGGACGACGCCCCGAGTTGAAGTAGATACAGGATAGAGGGAGGTAGCTGGTGTATTCCGTGTGGAAAAAGCCTATAGAAGAATTCATTTTATATTCTTACTTAAAAGATAAAATCTAATACGATGAATAAGATAATATAATCTTTATAAAGAAACTCAGCCAAAGTAGGACAAACTCTACGATGACATCTCAATGTGTTTTCATTATATGTATAATGTACCTAAGTACATGGAATGGATACTTTTGAAATCTTAAATAAATCTAACTTTAGCAAGATGTATCCCTACTATAAGCCAAAAGTTTTTTGTACACGAGCGGATGATGTATATATTCGAAATATATTAATTATAAATACTATGTAAGTATTTCCAGTTTGCATTCGTTTTAAAATGAGAACATATTTCGCTTACCATTGTACCATCATTACCATCGTATATTTTAGCCGTTGAAAGTAATCATTTAATAATTTCATAATCTACAATCAATTTTATAAATTTAAATTAAATTAACTAATAAAAAAATCTTTGCCTTTTTTACATAATACGATAGGTACTAATTTAATATACACTGACCATGGATTTGACTTAAGAGTACTTAAATTGAATAATCGAGATTAATAAAAAGAAGCGTGGTAAAAAAAAAGTTTAAATAATTAACAGTGCATAATTTTGCTAACTTGAGAAACTAAATATAATACTATAAATTTGAAATAAATGTAAGATATTGCATGCATTATGGGAGACGAATTTGAGATATAATAAAAAAACATTATGTTATTAGTATATATGTACATTCTTTATATTATTTGAAATCTAAATTCGTTTTTAGGGAAATATATTTATTCGAATATGATACATTTTATTTAAGCACGTTTTAATGTTATTTCTCAGTCTAAAATAAAATAATGTTCTATCCGTTTCTTCACTACTATGATGCTAAGCTGATTTTTTGAACATAATTAGTAGTACTAAAACTAAAATACAAATCTTCATAATAATTTATTTCAAATATTTATTTATTTCCTAACAAGTTGATTTAAATTTAAATTTGGCAATTAAATAATTAAAAATCTAAGTTGGCGCCTGGTAGATAGTACCGGTGACCCCAGAGCTGGTGCTTTGCTCGCTCAACGAATAAGTATCGCAATACAGAGAGGAAATGAATGTGGAAGAAAGTGAATTTGAAATTAGATGAAATTGGGAAACAATAAAAAAGGTTTTTTTATAAGGAGTTTTGATGCGACATTTATCCATTTAAGTATTCTAAGGAAATCGGACAAATTATTTATCAATCTTATGTTAAACGAAGTAAAATGATTATTACACGTTTGATTGTGCATTTTGTTAAACTACGTGTGCATGCTTAAAATTTGCCTCCGGAAGCCCCATATTTTGGTGCCAGAACTGCCATCGCCACCGCTGCTAGGGCACCACAGAGAACCCATCGTTTCTTAAATTCACACCATAAATCCACTCTATATTCACTTTTAAAAGCATTATAATGCTTTTCTTGCTTATAAACAAGTAGCGTAGCGCTAGAACTCTGCATTTTAAACAGACAAAATTTTTATGAACACATTTTTATAGGTGGTGGGTTGAACGTTCAAGAGTTTAGATATATGTAGTATTTGAAAAGTTAACGCAATTTTATTCAAAAGGAAAATCAATTGAACATGCAAAATGAATTTTGAAATACCGCGCTGCGCAGTGCGCATCTGCATTGCAACAGACCCGTCATTTTGACAGTTAGAACCACAGCTAATAATGCTGTGCTTCGATGTCTCTGGATATAGAATGATTTCTATGACATTTCATATTGACTTATGTAGGTAAACACCGTTTCCTACTAGATTTTAAATAATTTTGTAACGTAAATGAAAAACGAAACAACAGATTTTAGATAATTATAATACCCTATTAATATTGTTTTCTTTGAATTTTGTTTTGTGATGGAGGACGCTTTTAAGAAATTACAAAGTGTCGGTCAAAACAGTGTTGATAATCTCATAAAATGGATGAAGGATTGTAAGCAATAATATGTAAAGAAATGTAGTATTTAACGTTATACATACATATATATATATATTTAATAAACATTTCTTTAGTAATTGTTGGAGTTTATGGATAAGACCCCGGGTCTGTCACACTTGTCTTGGTTAAATGTATTGTCTATTAAATTACAACTGTTACAATATATTCGCATTTGGAAGAGTCTGTGAATCACATTATATTAGTTTGTCCCAATATTTTTTTCAATGTATAGCCAAAATCATCGACGGGGTGATAATTACAGAAGAAAGGGCGCGTAAGCTATTTGCCGATGTTGCTGACGTTGCAAACGTGGAGTTGTCAAAATTCCAAGCGGCGATAAGCAAACTCGCTACAGAACAGCTGAAGAATGTTGATGTTTTCATGAAGTCGTTGGCAGATGAGGGACCAAAGTTTTTGGAGGAAGCTGTCAGCTCTGCCGGCTCCTCCAGCTCTGCTGGCTCTGCCAGCTCTGCCAGATCTGCTTCTAGTGCTTTGACTAGCAGCAGCTGTGAAGCCTAAATAAAAATACATTATTATTTTATTATTATTGTTTCCCTTGCCTTTTTAGAGGAAATCTTATTAATAATGTCATAAGACTCCTAACATCAAAAATCACTGACCTTTTTGCTCCCACTTTTTTGACAAAACAATTATTAATGTTTTTCTTTGTTCGCTTATAAGAAAAGACTTAAGGGCCGGTGTTTAAAAAAAGCAAACAAAATCTAAGTGCAGCCCACGATATTAATCGTTAAAATACTACAATGAACGTCAGTAAGTTAATGCAGATTAGATGGTAGTCCTTAGAAAACAAAATATTGTCACAAATTTTCCTTAAAACACTTTTCTGTGAATACACATGTTTATAGTGATAAACATGTGTATTCACATAATTATATACATGTGTTTTTGATTCTACATGTGTATTTACAGAATTATATACATGTGTTTTTGATGTTGGTAGTGGGGGAAAGTCATTGTTATTCACTGGGTAGCAGTTGCATAAGTAATTTCAGTATTTTTTTCCATAATTTTCTTCATTTTAATTGGACATACTTTTGAAATGGCTAGATGAGGTCCGCTGCAATTTACACAACAGATATCAGTTGGCTTGTCGCATTCCTTATATAAGTGCTCGACTCCACAAATTGAACAATTTTGTTTACCGTTACAGATATTTGCTGAACTTGAAACATAGTTGTAATGGTGGTATATTTTCAAAAACTCTACGTATATATAGCTAATTTCGCTGTTTTTCTGATGATTTTTCTTTTTTTTCTGCTTAGTGCCGACTCATTGGTCTAGTGGTTAGTACCCCTGACTGCGAATCCATGGGTCCCGGGTTCGATCCCCGGCTGAGACGAACATCGATGTGATGAGCATGTGGTGTTGTGTTTAGGTCTTGGGTGTTTAAATATGTATTTATATGTCTATCTATCTATAATATGTATGTATATCTGTTGCCTAGTACCCATAACACAAGCTTCACCAGCTTAGCATGGAACTCGGTCAATTGGTTTGAATTGTCTTTTAAAAAAAAAAGTAAACTCTGGCGCGAAGCGGTTGAAATGGAAGATGCCCCGAGTTGAAGTAGATACAGGATAAAGGGAGGTGGCTGGTGTATTCCGTATGGAAAAGCCTATAGAAAAATAATTTTATATGCTTACTTAAAAGTTAAAATCTAATACGATGGATATAATACTATATCTTTATAAAGAAACTGGGCCAAAGTGCGACAAAATCTAAAGGTTCACTCAACTATGACATCTCAATAAGTTTAGATATTCAATTTCAAAAATTCTTTATTTTGTTTCACAAAATTTATGGTGCTACATATCCAGTGTACATTATTTCCTGGAATGTAACAAGCTTACAACTAGACACGTTTTTACAGCTATTTTGCTTTTTTAAAAACTTATAAAATTTATAAAACTAAAGTTATAATGTTACGAAAGGTTTTAACAATAACAAACAATTTTTAACAATAAATAAAAAATAAATAAAATATGTTTATTATGGAACATAAGATACATGTATCACTTATTCCACGTCATTAAATTTGAAGGCATCCCTACTCATCGGCAAAGAAGACAGAGGGTGTAGGCCGAGAGAAAAAAGCCGGCGTAAAAAACTCTCGGTACTCTTTTAAAACAGCAAATCATCAAACAACACTTATTTAAAACAAATATCGCAAATTGATTAGAAGTAGCCTGTCTAGCACTAGTCCCAGGCCCTTTTATCAACTAGATAATCGTTGACTTTATAGTAAGCCTTTTTACACAGCTTTTCTTTAATACATTTCTTAAATTTATTGAAAGGCAGTGATAAAAGAGCCTCTGGGATTTTATTAAAGAAGAGTATCCCTTTCCCCAAAAAAAGAATTACTAACTTTAGATAGTCTAGTACGGGGAAATTGCAGCCTGCGTTTGTTCCGTGTATTAACATTGTGCGTATGTTCTATTCTAGTAAACTTATCACTATTTTTGTATACATACATAATATTTTCATAAATATATTGCGAGGGAAAGGTAAGTATATTAATTTCCTTGAATTTATCTCTAAGAGATTCCCTACATTTTAAATTATAGATTGCACGAATAGCCCTCTTCTGCAGGATGAAAATAGTTTCGACATCAGCAGCATGACCCCATAATAATAAGCCATAAGTCATTAAGCTATGAAAGTAACTAAAATAAACAAGTCTAGCTGTATCGACATCAGTTAGTGAGCGAATTTTTTTAACCGCGTAGGCTGCAGAACTAAGTCTCTTCGCCAATCCGTTAATATGAGGGGACCACTGAAGTTTTGAATCCATGGTGATTCCGAGAAATACAGTTGTATCATCCAGATTCAATTCCTCACCGTTTATAATTGGTCTAGTATCCATAACCCTTGCATTTTTTGCACAAAATTTAATGCATTTTGTCTTTTTTGCATTAAGTAGAAGGTTATTCATACTAAACCAATGGACAATCGAAGACAGAGCATTGTTCACATCGTCAAAATTTGTTATTTGTCGTTTGATTTTAAAAATCAAGGACGTGTCATCAGCAAACAAAACTATCTGATGTTTTCTCTCTACCATGAAAGGTAGATCATTTATATAAACAAGAAAGAGGAAAGGGCCAAGAATTGAGCCCTGTGGTACCCCCATATCTACTGCCGACCCAGAGGACCTCTTACCATTCACTTCAACCTTCTGAGTTCTTCCGTGTAAATAGGAAGTCAGAAGATTCAGTGCGGTATTCTTGATGCCATAGTGGCGGAGTTTCCCGATTAAGGTCTCGTGTTGGACACAATCAAATGCTTTGGATAAGTCGCAGAAAACACCTAAAGCGTCATGCGACTCCTCCCAAGCCTTAACTATATATCTATATAACTCAACACCGGCATCGGCTGTCGAGCGACCCTTGGTAAAACCGAACTGATTATTATGTAATAATTTGTTTACGTTAAAATGACTTACCAGTTGATTTAATATAATTTTTTCAAATATTTTACTACAAGTAGGTAGTACGGAAATTGGTCTAAAGTTACTGGGGTCGGACATACTACCTGCTTTAAATAAAGGAATAACTTTACTATGTTTCATTAGATCGGGAAACTCGCCACTTTTAATACAATTGTTGAAAATTATAGCTAGATGGGGAGCAATTACATCAATTATGCTACTAATTATTTTTACAGAAATACCCCAAAGATCGGTAGTGTTCTTAATATCTATGGTTCTAAATATCCTCACTATATCGTCGGCACCAATGGGTCGGAATGAAAAACTGACCTTGCACTCGTTTACATTATCTTTGAGCAGCGATTCGGCGAGGGCGGGAGATGATTGAAGAGACTTAGTAGTCGAAATTGGAATGTCAGAAAAGTACTTATCAAAAACAATCGCTATCTCTTCGTTAGATTTGATTATAGTGTTATCGACACATAGTTCGATGTCTTGATTGCGATCCCTGACTCTTCCAGTTTCACTATCAATTATCTTCCAAGTCATTTTAGTTTTATTGGTACTATTTTTAATCTTGTTTTTGATATTTAAGGACTTGGCCGCGTAACAAACTTTCTTAAATAATTTCGAATAATTTCGAACATAAAGAATAAATTCTTCATTATGATTGTATGACTTTTCAGCGTAAAGGTCATACAACCGTTGTCTACTTTTATAAATTCCCGCTGTCGCCCAATCACTAAACGATTTACACTGCGAATGAGAGACTTTCTTTGGGGTAAAGATGGTGTTGAACTCTTTATTAATACAATCACTTAGATTGTTGTATTGTGTATCAACGGTAGTACCTACCGGTAATAAAGGTAGGCGTTTACCTATATTATGTCTAAATCTCACCATTCGCTTTTTATTCACTGGAACAAACACACTGCTCTTATTTACTTGTTTCACCACTTTACATTTTAGCGCCACTAACTGTCCACAATGATCTGAGCTAAGATCAGTTGTAATTGAGGTTTGCATTGCCTCTGCATCTGTAAATACATTATCTATACATGTAGCAGTGGAGCTTGTAATTCTAGTGGGCTCAAGAAACAAGTTAACAAGATTGTAAGATTTTAATAACAGATTGAATTTTTTACTAATGGAGGTATTTTCTAATAAATTTATATTGAAGTCACCACATACAATAATATACTTATTGTTCTTAAAACTAACTTTACACAAAATTTCCTCCAACTTTTCTTCAAAAAAATCGTAAGATGCACTTGGTGGTCTGTAAACACTTAAAATAATGCAATTCTCAATCTCTATACAGGCTACTTCCAAAGAGTGTTCTACAGACAGACACACGATGTCATTACGCTCTTTATACTTTAAATTTTTATTAACAATAATCAAAGAGCCCCCATGAATCGCCGACAATCTGCAAAACGAACTTGCAACTTGGTGCTGATCAAAGTTAAAGATGATTTGGCATTCTCTAAGCCAATGTTCGGTAATGCATAGGACATCAATTTTACTTGATTTTAAAAACAACTCCAATTCTAATTCTTTGCCCAACATACCTTGCATGTTTTGATGCATCAAGTTTAAACAGTTGTTGTTAGTAATATAACATGTTTGTGTTGAGCTGAGTTGTACTAAATTATTGCTAGAGTTTGCCTCTATTGTCACACTATCTAATTTAAATTATTTATACTTAATGAAGTGCTACTGCAAGTATCACTACATTCACTTAAGCTAAGCTGCTCAATAGAAGCAGTTGTCTGAAAAGCTAGCTGCTCAATAGAAGCAGTTGTCTGAAAAGCTAAATGTTTAGCTTTAGTTGTAAATAAAAAGTAAGATAGCATAGTAGCTATCTGTTGTAAATAATAATTAGGTAGGCGGAACCTATCCTTTGTCAATACATACTTATTTTTAAATATACAATTTATGTCCATTAAATTAGGTAGTGTACCTAAGCCACAATTTAATTGTATATTGTTAGTAGTTAACGTATTGTGCAACAACATGTTTAACTTATATCTAATTTTATTTTCCTTTGGTGCACCTTTGATGTAAGGAT